CCTCTCCCTTCCTGCAAGGACTTGGTAGATAAACACATCTTATAAACACCGAGAATGCCCTCAGCGAGGAAGCTGCTCGCTGCTAAGTCTTCAGAGAAGAGCTGAGCTCTCACCAGCCCCTCAACAGGCAGCTTACGGTGGCTTTGTGTGTGCCAGGCTGCGTGGAGGTGGAAACCCACAGGACACTGCCCTCCAACCTCCATGCAGACATCAGTTCCTGCAGCCAAAGCTGGGAGAGAGAGGTCTTTTCAGTCCAGCTCCCTCTCTCTGGTCGTAGCCACCTCATAGACTGGGAGCGCACACCATGAAGCTCCCCCAAAAGATTTCACCACAGCGTTGGAGGAACTGAAGCCTCCCTCCATGACACGTGGAGGACTGGAAACGCCAACACGCCTGCACACACCCTGTGTGAGGAAGCACAGGAGGCAAAATGGCCTTTGAGGCCTATCTGAGGCAGCAGGGCCTCGAGGAGCAGCCTGAGGGCACTGCCCCAACATGGGGCACATGTAGGAAACAAGAACCTGAAGGACACGGTGCTCGTATTTCCTTATTTACCTCAGGAAGCCCAGCGTGTTGGGATCTGTCCCTGTTTAACACAGGGAAGCACTAATGGGGCAGGATCCTCAATTCTCCACAGAAAAGACTGCAAATTGTACATGTGGGTAGAATTGGGCCAGGAAATTCAGCTGCCCTGAATGTGGTCCTGAATGAAAGAGAGGAGGGAGCACAGCAGCGCACTTTCACCTGGCTCCTGCTAGGACACCAGCAATTATGCACACAGCAGCATTAAGTGTAATTAGGCAGAGTGGCCTATTTTGTGAGCTACAGAAATGAAGTGAGAGTGCCTAAAAGCAGCTTCTTCTGGAACAGAGCGGGGAGAGGGGTTACAAGGAGCAAACACCACCTAAAAGCGCTGGTGTCAGCTCGCCAAGCTCTCCTGACAGGGCAGCCACAGGAACATGGGAACCCACAAACTTTGGCAGCAGCAGGATTGAAGATTTTGTAATCTGAGGCCTTTACCCATGCCTGAGGCCAAAATACCTGATCAGCACATTACAATCAAGCCAGCAGGACTAATGTATCAGATACGGCTGCTATTGAGAGCTAAAGAGGAATTTCAGAGGGGAGAAACAGCAGCTTCTCCTTAGCCAGAGGCTGTCTGCCAGTAAGGAGACAACAAAAGAATATCCAAGGTGAAAACACAGGGAGCTAGCTGGAAAATCCCCCTTCACTATATGAGTGAAGAGTGTTGTCCTAGTAGGAAAAGACAGGGGGAAAAAAAAAACAAAAAAAAAAAAAAAAACAAAAAAAAGAAATCACTATCTCCTGAACAAATTTATTTTTTTTTTCCTGAGCACTTCTGACCCAGCAGCTCTCCCTGAAATAGTCCATCTCAGAAAACAGAGCTCTAAGGTTTGCAAGGGAATTATGCACCTCACCTAGGAATGTGAGGAACGTGCGGGGAGTGATGCTAGGAAGAAACAGAGACCGTGTAGGCCATGTTATGCAGCTAACTCTGTGGTTACTTTCGAATTAGATTGAATTAGAAGTGAAGAGAGTTTTTCAGCTGTCCCCGTGACTGCAGGTACCATGTGCCTACCACTTTGTTTATTTTTCCTGTGGAAGTCACAAAGGCTTGAAGGCATTTTTTTACCCCCTAAGAATGAAAATAAATCACTCCAATCAGCTGCCTTTCGTGAGGTGCTACAAAACAAACTGCAGTGGCAACGTTATCATTTGTAACAGATTTAGCCTGCAGGACCAAGTGTTAATTTAAATTTTAAGGTTTAAAAATAGTTTCCTGTGACACCATGTAAATGCAAGGTATGGCCAGCACAAGCAGACCCAGACTGAACACAGTTGTATTGCTTGGAGTTATTTATTTCTGCATGTGATGGCTGCTGACAAACCTTGCCTCATTACTCTCCTCCTATGCCCCTGCATGAATTCAGGATGCTGGAACGGCTCTGAGAAAGACACAAGAGATATTACCATCCTAGTGTCATTGCTACACGAGGAGGTTCTGCTGCCCAGGCTGCCTCCTGAGCTGCTTCCTCCAGGGCAGCAGCTGGGCCAAATTTGGCCAAAACTGAGCAGGTTTTCAGCAAGCCATACCCCTACCAGAAGCTCTAATTTCTCCAGAGGCTGAGGCTTTGCCCTGTAGAGATACTGCAGCTTCCCAAATAATAGGCTTTGCTCCTCTTCCCTCGCCCACAGAAATAATACTTTCCTAAAATACTGATCCTTTCCTAAAAATATTCAGCTGTAGTCCCGCTTGGCACAGAACAGCTCGAGCCACGCAGTTAAATCTTGCCAAACTTACAACAAACCGAGAGCAATGTCCAATTAGCAGCAAGCAGACAAGCTGCCCTTTGAAACAGAGCCACCAAACACCAAAACAGAAACAGCCAATTCCTTTATACATGTACAGGCTGAATGCAAGGGAGAAGAGGAGAACTGAGCGCAGCACTAAGATGCTGCCTACCTTGTGTTTTTTTGGAAAGCAGAAAAGGAATAGGAGAGGCCAGGAGTTGACCACTGAAAGGAAGAAGTCTTCAGATGCCGAGAGGCAACAAAGCAAGGTATACTCAGAAAAACAGCAATTTCTCTCCCCCTCCCAGCTTAATGAAAGGGTACACAGTGAAGGGAACCAGAAGGACATCTATCCTAGCATTTCGAGATTACACGTAGCCGGGTGCTCCTCACACCATGATTTATTTGCCCGTGCTCTGTCTTCCAAAACAATCACCCTGACCACACGCTGCCTGCCGTAGCCGGCTGACGTCTGAAGGCCACTGCCCTGTAACTGGGTTGGATTTGGGGCAGCGTAATCCTCAGGGAGGGAAGGACGCGGGAAGAGGGAAGAAGGGCACAAGAAACATGAATGAGCAGCAGAGCCCAGGACAAGTTTTCAGGCCTGGCATTTAAGGAAACTATTTCTAATGTGAAGTAACCCATATCTAGGGGAGGAAAAAAAAAAGGACAGAAAAGACACCACAAGCCACACTGCTCAGGATCCTCCCCAGTATTTGCTGGAAGTTGCGTTTTAGTCCTGTTTAATTCCTTTTTACCATTTCACAAAGGATGGCACTGCCTTCCTCCCCCAGCTGCTCCCAGCAGCCCGCGGGGAGCCGCCACACTTCCTGATGTCCTTATTTAACGCTTCAGTCATTCCTCACGCTCCTTCACAGAGCACGTCAGGGCTTGGAGACAGGTCCGCCAGCAGGTGCGCTGGGACTCCGGCGTGCTGTGCAGGAATACAAACACCAGCTAATTAAATCTATTGTTAAAACAATTTGTTTCTTGCTGGGGCCGAGTCATCTGAAAGCATTTGAAGAAGGCGGGTTTCATTTCTGAGGGCAGACTGCCATCTTCACTCGGGAGCTCCTCACCCTCCTCGAATTATTTTAGATTTCGAGTTCAGATCGGGAGCAGAGTGAGAAGATATACTAAAATAATAATTAAGTTAAAAACCCAAGGGCAAAACTCTAACCTGTCTCTTAGCAAGGGCAGCGTTCAGCAGGAAGATCCACGATTTAGCCTGCCTGTGTTAGCTCCTCGAAAAAATGAGAGCAGCAGAGGATGAGACCAGCAGCACAGCAATCCATAAAGGTCTATTTCTGATGAACACCTGCCCCCAAGAGGGCATTGTGCATATGTACTTCACGGCTCCCAGGCACCCACCACCCGTCTGGTCAGCATACGGGGACAGCATTGCCATCGTCCCTCCGCCCCAGCTCTGCCTGGGAAGCGAGGAGAACGCCTCGTTCCTGCTTTTCATCGATTTGTTTCAGGAATCTTTTTCGGGAAAGTCACAAGCAAGCCAGCAGCTCAGTCAACGCAAGATCTCCTGCACAAGGACACGCTCTGCTGCTCCTGAGACCAGCCCCATCTCCCTGGGCTGACTCTCCAGGCACCTTCAGGGAGCGTTTGAGGACGTGAGTCCAGAGCAGCTCCTGAGAGCAGCCTCCGACAGCTCCCACACCACTGCAACACAGCCTCATAGCCACGGCCCTTCACCAGCCACTTTCCAAGTGTGTGTACCACAGACCGGCACGGCCTAATTACAGGCCAGGTTCTGCAGTCCTTAATTGGACAAAAATTAATTACAGCGTGCCAGACAACTCATCCTCTTCCTGAATACATAATGCTCTCTGATGAGGCTCTACACAGACAGGTAAGTAAATCAGCGTGAGGAAGAAATTTAAGTGGCATTCATTTGGGACAGTCAAACCACAACACACTTACCTGCTTTTCTAACTTAATTGTACGTGGCTTTAACTCCGTGCAGGGAGAAAAGCTGCTCGTTTCCAAACTTCCCTCCTGACCCCATCGCCACACAGCTCCAACGTCATTCCCAACCCCTACCCAAGGGGGACTTGCTGTGTTCAGCTGTGTCCAGCAGTTCTGGGGCTCGTCACTTCCAGCCTCCCATCCCACACGTCTCTGATTACATCCAGACTTATTAATGCTCTTTATTAGCTTACTTAGCAGGCATGATTTTGCTCAGCTACTCTCCCCACCGTAACGCATTACTTTGCTGTGAAATGCATTCTGAGATGCACATTTGAAGCAGCACACAAAATAATTATAGCGGTGCTTTAATCCTATCGGGGGACAAAATAACCACGCTAGGAGACAACGATGGTGACAAAGGTAGGCCCTGACAGTGCATCTTCACGTCAGATACCCACGCGGTGCTGCGTAAGTGGCACCACCACCCTGACTTCCCTTTGGTGTCTGAACAACCTTGGTTAACCAAATGAATGCCCGTAGGGTTTTCTGTTCGGCATTTATCTCGTTCTGCTGAATTTTTAGGGAACCCCTTATCAGTCCTTGCGACCAGCCTCACAGACTTCCTGTGTTTGAGCACAATATGGGCAAGATCTGATGGCAAACCGCTGTGGGGAATCATAGCCAGAGTATTTTAAGCAAACACCAAATCCCAAAATGAGAGGAAAGCAAGAACAAGCAGTGTGTTACCATGCACAGCACTCTACCTGCAGTGCTGCTTTCTCCCTCGCTAAGGCTGCTGGTGAGGAGCTGTGAGACCATGGCAAATCCAGGCTGCAGCTGTACACGCACGGCTTTCACAAAGCACTCGGAGGTGAGGCTTTGCACTTTGCTGCTTTTTGCTTCTGTGCCTTCGATTTTCCAGGTCGGCTTAATAGCAGCGCCTAAAATAACCCCACAGGCAGTTGGATTTTGCAGGGAAGGACTGAGGGCAGCAACAGCACTCCAGCTCCCAAGGCAGCTTGTGTCCAGCACGCTTTTCATGGGATCTGCCCCATTTTTTCTACTGCCCAGACACCAAACAGGCCAGAGCTTGATTACCTTTAAATAGGTCACTAAATAGAGCTTGGCAAGCGAGGGGCAAATAACATCAGTAGCGAAGTGGAAGCACCTGCCAACAGAATAATGTTCTTTACTGCTTACGTCCCAGCTGGGATGAGACAGCCTCACCTTTGTTTGCTCCCTCTGGTGCTAACACACAGGTTGTAAGGCAGCTCCAAGGTACCTGCAAAAAAAAACCCAACCTGCCAGCAGGACGCCCTGCAGCCCGTACCCAGCCGGGTCAGGTCACAGGCCTGCACCTGCGAGGAGTGGGAACATTTTGGGGGCAGAATTTGGAGCCCTCCGAGGCGAGGTGCTCCACGCTGCGTACCTGCAGAGCGCTCAGGCCCCACACGAGGTTAATTTGGAAATCTTCCTGAAAATAAGCATCTGAAAGCCCAGGGGCTCAGCTTCCTTCTCAGGCACCCGTCTGAAACGCGCCACTGTGAGCCGGGTACCACGGGCAGCAGGACCTGCTGTGGAGGGATTGGAAGGAAAAGAGAATTTTATGTTTTTCTACCAATAAACATTGAGCCAGCAGCTAACAAGGCAAAAATCCACTTCCCAGTAACCTACGCACAGCACAGCACAAGGAGCCTGGGTGTCTTTCCTCCTCCTCTGCCCGGCAGCATCCTGCAGACACAAAACCCCTCCTGTGGCTGCCTTTCTCTGGAGCTCCTTCCCAAAAGTCCCCGGCCGTGCTGCGAGCTGCAGAGCCGGCTGAGAAGAGGGCCGGGCAGCAACGCCTGCATGGCTGCAAACCAACCCAGCTCCTCTCGGCTTAGCCCGCAGCGTACAGGAGGGGGAGCGTTTGCTGCAGTATTTGCTGCAGGACTTGCTGCTTCCCCGTGCCCACCTGGGCTCGCTCTCCCGTCCCCCTGTTAGGGGAGGACTCCTTGAATCATTTCTCAGCCTGTGTTTGTCTCCCTCAGCCAAGCTTGGCCACAAAATTACCCCTTCCCCTTTCAGCATCACTCCTTGCCTCTTCAGTTTTCCCACCCCGCTTTAGACAACGTCTCCTGTTATTACAGAGGGCTTCAAAGAGGTTTCCTGTAAACAAGGATTTGATCTACAAGCTTTGGGGCACGCACATGGCTTGAACTCCATCTCCTGTTTCGGGAGCCACACCAAGCATCAGCCAGACCCCTGTAGCTACACACACGCCCTCCTGGCCAGCAGATCACGGGCAGCTGAATTTTCCTGAGATGTTCTGGTAGTAAGAAGGGAAGGAAGGCCCGGTGTAAGCATTTTCCCTTATAAAAATACCCAATTTCATTCATTCAGTTATATATTCAGCAGATAACACTCAGCATCATGATCGCTGCCCCTGGGAGCCAGGGCAAAGCAGCCCCACAGCACGTGTGGAGCTGTGTGTGCGCGGCTCCACTGCTTTCATCTCAAGTGACCTCGCAAGGCTGACAAGCTGGGCTCACGAGAAGCCTTTTCTCAGCCTTTGGTTGAGTCTCACCCCTCGTTAGCACCCATTTAAGCAAAATATATATTCAAAACTTAAAAACAGCATCCGGGACCGCGGATGTTTTGTGGTCCTGGGCTCCTTTTTCTAGCCAGAAAGGCAACGTTTCAGCTCATCGTCGGATAATTCTCTTGAAAACGCAAATGAAGAGGAGAAAAATGGTTTTAAAAACACCTATGTAAATAAATATATAAAATAATACGTATTTGGCAGTGAGAGCTCTCCCCGTGTGTGCACGGACGTGCCCAGGACAGCCGTGGTGGGCAGCAGCGGACGCCCTCCGTCTCACAAAGGCTGTGCCCCACAGTTCTCCGCCCCATCACAATGCCCGGGTGAGCCCCGAGGCCCGCGGCGGCAGCTGTGGGGCCATGGGGGGAGAGTGAAGGCCACCGAGTGCCACGCGCCATGCGTTGAAGTCCTCGAGCCCTGGAGCAGAAGGCCCGCTGTGGTGAGGCCCGCCGGGATCGCTCGACATGCCGAAAACCGACGCGGGCGAGAGGCTGCTCTGCGAGCTGGGCTACAAGCTGGGCCAGACCCTGGGCGAGGGCAGCTTCTCCAAGGTGAAAGAGGTCACCTCCAGCAAGTACAAGGTCCCCTTGGCCGTCAAGGTGGTGGACCGGCGCCGAGCCCCCCCGGCCTTCGTCTACAAGTTCCTGCCGCGGGAGCTCTCCATCCTGCGCAGGATCCGGCACCCCAACATCGTGCGCATCTTCGAGCTGATCGAGGTGTGCAACGGCAAGCTCTACATCGTGATGGAGGCGGCGGCCACCGACCTGCTGGAGCTGGTGCAGCAGCGGGGGAAGCTGCCCTGCGTCCCCGAGGCCCGCGACATCTTCGCCCAGGTGGTGGGGGCCGTGCGCTACCTGCACGACCGCAACCTGGTGCACCGGGACCTCAAGTGCGAGAACGTGCTGCTGGCCGCCGACGGCCGCCGGGCCAAGCTGACCGATTTCGGGTTCAGCAAGGAGGCCGGCACCTTCCCGGAGCTGAGCACCACCTTCTGCGGCTCGGCAGCCTACGCGTCCCCCGAGGTGCTGCTGGGCATCCCCTACGACGCCAAGAAGTACGACGTGTGGAGCCTGGGGGTGATGCTCTTCGTGATGGTGACCGGCTACATGCCCTTCAACGACACGCACATCCGCAGCATGCCCCAGCAGCAGAAGCAGGGGGTGCTGTACCCGGAGGGGCAGCCCCCGCTGCCGGAGCCCTGCCGAGCCCTCATCGCCCAGCTGCTGCGCTTCAGCCCGGCCGCGCGGCCCGGCGTGGGGCAGGTGGCCAAGAACAGCTGGCTGAAGGGGGACATCTGAGGGAGGAGACCCTCGGAGGGCGCTCACACCTTGGCACAATCAATGCTGTAGAGGAAAAAATAGGTGTTAATTGATCGTTTCCAGCTGCGGGCTGTGGGTGGGAGTGAGCTCGATGCGTTGGCGAGGCCGCCTGGTGGTTCAGGTGGTGGTGGTGGCATCAAGAAGGCGGCCGTGCCCCTTCACAAAGGGGACAAATGAGCCCACTGCACGTCAGGCTTCAAGCCACGCTGACCGTGGTGAGCAAGGGCTAAGAGCAAACCGCCAGGCTGCTCACCCCAGAGCACCTCCGGGGGCCAGGTCTGAGCTCTCCCACCGAGCCAGCCTTGTTTGCCACCAAAACGGGTTGAGATGAGGTGGGGGAGAAGCGGTGGTCCCGTAAATCACTACTGCAGAGACAACGTCCTTTATATTCATTGTATACCACCCTTTAGATCTCACGGGGGTATTACAAAACACAGATCCACAGCAGAACCTCTGCAGGCAACCCAACAGCATCACAGAGCCACAACTTTTACTGCGGCTTCGAGATCCGTGCCTTAACTTCAACCAGATCTTGCAGATACTGGATCTTGCCAGCATCTGACATCTCTGCCAAGAGATACCTGGTGAGAAAGAAATGCCACTGGCTGTGGATAACACTGAAATGGGACAGAAGGAAAGATGTAAGGTAAAGGAGCACTGCTCTGCTCACACCAGCTTCCCAGCTCCCACACAAAGGTACCAGTTACTCTGCAACCCCCCGAATCTGCGACGTACGCCAGCTGCCAAGCCCCACGTTCAGCCAGGTATGTAAAGGCAGGAGCTGGCATCTGAGATGCCAGATGAGGAGTTTCAAATCCCCTTTAAATGAGTTCCAGCCGAGCTTCCACAGAAATGAAAGTCCAAGAGAAAATGTCCAGCTGGGTGGTCTGCTCGTCCCGGTGTCGCTGGTGCCCCGCGAGCTCACACAACGCAGCCTTGGCAGCGGCTCCCCCAGCGAGGGTACGTCTGAAACGAGCAGACGAGCCCACACGGTCCTGCTGGAGGAGAAGGAAACGTCTTTCGTAACACAAACATTTTGGGTCTATTAAAAGCAGCGGCTTAAGTAGAACAAGATGTGGCAGCAGAGCCAGCCCAAGGCTTTTCAGCACATGGGCTACGGCAAATTTTTGCCACCCCCGGAATGAAGATTTACTTTGCTCTCAAGCATTGCAGCTGCAAAATAAATCTTCACAGCAGCAGAGTCCAAAGCGGACAGAGAAAGGGATGGGAAGGGTGTCCTGGGGCCATCCGTGGCTGGGGAAACAGGCTTAGGAAGGATCAGGGGGCCGCTAGGGATGGAAAAGAACAGAGAAGCTGAAAGGGTGTGGGAAGAAAATTCAGGGTGGCCAGAGTTGCAGCAAGGCTCTTCTACGGACTGCAGTGTCTGGGGGAAGGTGGCTGGTGGGCTGGGGGCAGGCAGTTCCAGTTCAGTCACCAGCTGCAGGAATCGGTGATCTTCTAAAAGGGAAAATGCTCCCATCCGAAAAAACCCCACGTGTCGGTACAGGACATGGATCAGTTCAACGGGCTCCTGTTTGTGGTGTTTGAGCTTGGAATCCACAGTTGTCATTAAAAAACAAAATAATCGCTTGCTCTCTAGACCGAGCAGTAATTTCCATCCTGTCAGGCTACTGCCAAATGGTTAAGAGTTAGCCTGACTTTGCTTCGAGACTGTGAGCCTTTTATTAGGGGAAGTCACAGGACTTGGGAAAACGTGGCCATGCAGCACATGCCCACATTGGGATTAGACCCAATGGATGCCCTGTGTTTGTCCTTCCAGCTGGTCAGGAGCAAATATTTTCTGTCCGTGTGAGAGCACTGCCAAGAATCAGTTCTGTGTGTAGTGCTGGTGAATCCCAGGTGCGAGTACGGAGGGTACAGGTAGGTAACCCGCGAGCATACAGCCTGTACAGCAACACAGGATCATAAATAGGAGCTTTTGCTGACTTGCTTTAGGCTGTAAAACTTGCATTTATAAACAACAAATAACGTCTCTAGGCATGAGACATCCTCAAGGGCTTTCACGTGTTTCCACAAGGTGGGCTCAGAGCTCTTCGGCCACACACCTCGAAACGTTCAAGATCCAGACTTCACCGAGGAGCCTTCCTCGCTCCAAAGCGCTCTCAGGTTGTGCTCCGGGGCTCTCCTCTGAGCTCTGCCAGCCCTGCTGGGATTGTGCGGCCTCTCCTTTTGCTTTCTGCTAATTCTCCTTCGCCAAAGACAAAGCGAAGACAAAATGAGTTGTTCTAAATCCCAGGACCTGATCTCCCCCCACACACCACATTCTCCCACACGACTGCATTGGCTGAGACGGGAGGGTCCCGTGCCATCGCCCCGTCGCTGCTGTCACCTCTCTGTCCTTCAGGCTGTTATATCCGTGCCTTGGAATCATTTGGAGTGCCTCTCACGCATCCTGAAGCAATCTTAGCCCCTGGGGCCGTGCTGCCCGGCCTGCAGCCCATGACCCGCTTCAGCCGTCCTCAGCCCAGCCAGCGCGGGCAGGCGTGGTGCGAGGCGTGCCGGGGTGACCCTGCCGTGTTCAACAGGCAATTTAGCAAATAAATGTACCTCGCTCTGCTCGCATGCATTCACCTTCCCATAATTGCAGCCTTCAGTCCTTGCAGCCTTTTATCCGGCTCCCTTGTGCCCTCACCTTCCTTTCCAAGCCCCACGCTGCCCGAAGCGATGGGTCCCCGTGCGTCGTCAGCCGTCTTCACTTTACGGACTCATTTCTTTGCTTTTCCTACCCCGTGTGGGTCTCCACGCTTGCTTGCCTGTTGGAAGAGCGGAAAGGAGGCCACCGCTTTCATATCTTGATCCACTCAGTTATATTCAGCATAACAATAAAAAACAATGAGGCTCGCACCAAAGGACAGGAGCCAGAGGCTCCCCAAGCGCACAGCTTTCCTTGCAGACGGGAGGTTTTCCATGAATCATATTTTCATTTTCACAGCACCTACCAAACATTAATCCCTGCGCTAGCACCAGGTGGCAAATATTATTCTCCCTGTGTTACGGTGAGCAGGCTAAGTGGCTTACCTCAAGCCAAGGGGATTGCATTTTACATTACGGTGTAAAACCTCCCCGGCCTCCAGACTTCAGAGCCATGAGCTGAGCAGTCTTGAAACACTAACAAATTCAACGCTATCTGATGGCCTGGAAAGACATCTGAATTCCCTCTGCAACTGTTCCCAAATCAATCTCATTTTATCTCATGAGTGAGACGCTGCTGAGCATCCCTGCCCCAGAAGGTGGCCCGTGTTCAGTGAGCGAGGCCTGGGACACGGCAGAGGACCTTCAGCTCAGGGTGCTGGCCCTGCTGAGCTGTTGCTGTCCTCGCAGACAACCTTGCTGGGGGGCCGCCAGACAGCGCTCTCATTAGCTACAAGCAGAAAACAAAGCGTGTGTTGCTGCCTCGGATATAATGATAACCCTTGGCTCCGTGTTGGCATGTTCAGCAGCTTGTTAATGGGCTACCTTGGAACACGTACAACACCCCGCCACGCACACGTGCGCCTGGTCATTTATTGTGTCAGGAGCTGCCCCTCTTTCTGTCTGACGTACTTCTCCCGCGTCCAGAAAATGGTGCAAAAGCAGAGCAAACCATAATTGATGAATGAATCCTGGGGAAAGCAGTTTTGCTCTCTGTGCACCCTACAGCCAATTAACTTTTCCGACACTGAGAGCCACGTTCAGGTACTACCAACAGGTCCAGAGAAGTGCTGGAGGAAGGACCCATGGAGGGTTGGACCTACCAGAAGCCCACAAACAAACACATTTATTTACATCATTCCTACTGCGAGTGAGGGACAGCACTTTGCCTTCCTCCTGTTCCAGAACCTGGAAGGAAGCTGAAGCCATGAACACAAAAAGTGTTCATGTTCACACAAAAAGCAGGGTTTGCTGCTGCTCTGCTTCTTGTCCTTTCCCTTGAGAAAACCCAGCAGAGGCGACCATAGCCATTCCCACCACCACCATGTACTTCATTTCATCTTCACAGAAGAAAAAGAAACTTCTGTTCGCTATCGTTTATTAGATGCTATTTCAGGCAGTGCTTGGCAGGAGCCTGGAGACAACTGTGCTGGTGGTTTTGGGATGGAGAGTCCGCCTGTCAGCAGATTGAATCTATTACAAATGCTATTCTCAAGACGTCATGCGGGATCTAAACTTCAAACCTGCAACTCAGCACAAACTTCATTTCATTGTGAAACCAGAGACTTTTCAATTGCATCTGCAACACTTACAGAATATCCACGTTCTCCATTGTACTCTGCTCCATCTCTCTGGTTTTACTCTACCCCTAAATTTGCTGTGTGCCTCAGCTTTTTACAGGGGCAAGCAACAGCTGCACGTCAGATGCTTAGCAAGCAAAGCTCCAGCAGTGGGTGAAAACACAGAAATGCACATCAGCTGATGACCCGCCTGGCCGCAGAGGAGCAACAGTGGTTTCGGTGCGTGCTTCGGTGTGTATGTGGGGTTTTGCATCCAGCAGAAAGAATCGGGTAGAATGAGACTTTGGTGTGCAGGACCAGGACCAGCGTGCAACCGAAGGCATGCGTTAAAATGCTGGCTGCTTCAATCATCAACTCTGCTGAAGGTTTCAGTATCCCCAGTCTCCAAAAGGAATGGTCAGATAAGACAATTCACTATATTGAGTTGGGGTTGAAATCATCACCCGCAAGAAGATTATCCCAACGCACTACTTCAGCTGAGCTCCTGTCTCCAGGGTTTTCTCCTAAATTTACCAGCAAGAACATTTTAAATCAGTATACGGAGCTGCGAAGCTGCAATTTCATGCCAGAATAAGACAGGACCTGTAGCTAACTCCAACACGAGAGAAATACAAAATAAAAGCACACAGGAGGGCAGTTTTTGTAAAGGGGACATTTTCTCCAGTAGTAGACAGACTGAATCCGTCTTGATTTTATCACTATGTATCTTGAGAGCTTGCTTTCCTCACAGTTAAAAGAAAATCTCTTCTACCAAGACAAACTCACAAGTCAGCAGCACCAGGGAACAAACTGTTGGGCCCAAGAAGTGGGGGAGAGTGTTTTTCACACCGATGACTAGGGTGCTCATCTACAGTTTGAGGCCGGAAATGTGGTTCTTGGAGTTGGTATAAGAAGTATAGACCATCAGAAAAGAAAAAAAAAAGAGAGCGAGCCATGGAAGGTTGAAGAACAAAAAAATGAGCACATTGTGTCCAAAGAAAGTTCAACAATTTTCCCAGCTCATTGAATTGTGGGAACTTTGCTTTTCCAGGGAATAACTATGCTATTTTTAGCGTTTTTATTATACAATTTGTCACAAGCTGTCTCAGGAGACTATCAACAATCAGTTTCAAACAGCATTTGACCACAAACACTTCTCCACATGTGATTTAGAACATCTGGACCCAAGGAGTCAGCTTTCAAAGCATGCCAGCACCGTGCTGGCTCCCCGCATTTCTTCTTGCTTCCATCTTCACGTCCATTGTCAGAACACGTGTAGAAACCAGGCTCCAAAACCCCAAAGCTCCAACAATGCACCCACGCTCCGTCCTTACACCGAAGTGCTGGGAGAGGAGGCACCGTGCTCTCGGGAGAGGAGGGCAGCCGGGGATTGCTGGTAGCGCATTCCAGGCATTGCCGAGCTGCCGTGATTTATACGTCACGCTCCCTAAAGATAGGGGATGAGATGCTTGGCCTGGAGCCTCGCCAGCCTGTTTGCACTGTCACATCTGCAGATCTGGAAAGGAGGTGCCCGCTCCTCTGCTGCGTTCCAGCTGCAGGCACTGCCTCTGTACGTGGCCCGCGGCAGGCTCCGGCCACCAAGGGAAACCTTCTCACCAGAAAGTTTGGGTAGGTAGAGTGCAAATCCACAAAGCAGCTCTTCAGTGAATCTGAGAAGGGGATGGGAAGATATGAAAAAGGAATGCAAGCAAATAGCAGAGGAAATGACATTATGATCCCAGCTGGAAACGCTGTAATGATCTGCTTGGTGTCTGTGTAGAAACCTGCATGAGAATGGAGAGATTCAGGCCCCTGCAGAGCCAACGAGTATTTTATCATCAGCTGGAGGGGGATGAAGGTTTCACGCAGCTATTAATGTTGTGTTCGCCTTTATTTTCTCTCATAATCCACACATATGTGGTGCGATCATACAGCAATCTACATTTCCACTACCTTCTGTCTTGCAAGCCTGGCCTCCCCACAGTCTACCGAAGCCATATTCATTAGGACATATGCTGTGGTGCTAACAAAGCTCCCAGACCAAACCCCACACAAATACTGCTTCATAACAGTTCAGTCAGCACAGGGGAGAGGGAAATACTGAGCCGTGCTTTGGGAAGACTTGGGAGCGACATTATGGGGGTTTCTACTTCTTGTTCTGCCCTGTGTGCTCTCAAAGAACAGCCAGTTAAATTCCAGCACGTTTCTCTTTCTGAACTTAAAACAACTGGGATTTTGGTACACAGTGTCTGTTGGGAGAGCTCACCAAGCCTTGGAGGCCTGTCAGGAGCAGAGCACGCAGGCCCAGCGCACGGTTCGAGCAGGCCCGGCAGAGTAGCACAGCCGCCATTTTGACCAAAGCTCGGGGCTTAGAGCTCAGGTTTTCAAGAGCAGAGTTAGGGGACTTTGGTTCAGCAGTTGCTGACAAATCCCTCATCCCCTGCAAATCACACACACAAGCCGCTGTCCAGTATCACCCGCTCGTGGGGCGCACGCCTGCCACCACTCGAGGACAGCATTCAGAGGTCACACACGGGGGACACCACCCTGGCTCTCTGGTTTACAGCCAGGCATCTGAGTGCCAGTAAAACAGAAGAAAGAAAACTGTGGTTTCTATAAAACCTGAGTTTCTGCTAGATTCTTTTCTGCTCCTGCAGCAGACGGCAAGCACTGAGCACTGGGTACAAGATGCCTGTATTTCCTCCTGTACCTCACGCCTCCTTTCTAGTCTCACCTGCGTCCCCCCTTTCGTCCATCCCTCTTCAGCAGGAGGTGGTGCTCAGCACCTGGTGGCTCCTTTGCTGCCACTGCTCCTCGTTTCTCACCTGACTGCTCCAGCGTGGGCTCCTCCACAGGCTGCAGTCCTGTCAGGGTTGTACCCGCTCCTCTGGCCACTCCTGGTCCCTGCCCAGGCGGCTCCTGGCCTCCAGCCCTCCTCAGGCTGTGCTTTTGCTTTGGCATTTCTCCTCTCCTGTTTTGCTCAGGCTGTCTCATTTTTTTCTCAGCGTTTGCTACCATTTCTTAAGCACGCCTTTGCAGAGACACCACACGGCTCTGCTCTGACTAGCAAGGGGCAGCCTCTGGCCGCCTCACACCGCTCCCCGTGCTGCCCCCCACGACAAGCCCTGCAGCTGGGACACGGGGAGAGCAGCTCACGGCCCTCGTTTTTGTTCCTGGTTAGCTCCATTCCCTTTTCAAACCCATATTTTGGTTATTGATACCCTACTTCAAAACAAATTCACTGAGCCTTAGCAGAGAGATCTCACACACTGGGGTGACGTGGGAGGAGGGAACATCTGGCAGTGCAAAACCAAGCAACAGGAGAAAGCCACACCAAGGGAAGCCTCCAACTAATGCTACAGGCCAGGATTAGCACAGTGCAAGTCATCTAGAGCACAGAAACAAAAATAGAGCAAATCTACAAAGGCTTTGCTCTTCCACCCTGACTGAAGAAAGCCATAGGTCCCCACCCATGGCAGCTGGGGGTCTGGCAGCTGAATAAGACACGCTGCTGTCTTTGGAAAGGGTTTCCTTGCCTTGATTCTACAGAAAAGCCTGGATATGTGGCTGAAGCTGAACCCTGCAGAGCAATTTTAGCTCTCCTCTTGAATTGAGGTTTTCTTTGGTGCTTTGGGCAGGGGATTGGACCCCCCAGCTATGTGCCCTGTAGCCTGTCAGCTGGTCCTGCACAGCAGCCCTTGGGCAGGTGCTGGCAGTGAGAGGAGGCATCACTCCTGCCCCATCCCACCCAGATGGATGGACGTGGTCCTCTTCATTCACAGACTGACATGTAACAGCTCACAGCCCTCCTTTCCTTTCTATTTTTAGTCTACCCTGAGAAATCCTACCTCTGCCTCAAGAGAAGGGAGAAAACCACCCAGGTAGGATCCAGAACCACATCCCAGAACCACACACACAGTGCTTGGGAGCCCAGCCTGTGATGGACACCACACGATGCCAACACAGCACCGCTTCCTAAATGCAAAAGCTTTCAAACAGGGGAAATGGGAGAACGTGTTCATGCCAGTAATGGCCTGACTGTGAGCTTGGAAGTTATGTATTTATGTCACAGTGAGTTTCTGGTGTTGGTTTAAAGCCAATTTTTCCTATACCAGAAATAGCTGGTTTTTTATTTTTATTTTTTGCATTATTCCCATAACTGTTAATGAAAACTCAGGGAACTGCCATCAATAGCTCACAATCTTTGTATAATATTAAATTTGGGATGCAATCAACAATTAGGATCTTGCATTGCACTTAAAAGCTCATCCACAGCTTTTGGACTTCATGAATAAAAATGAAATTTTAATTAATAGGTTATGGTGATTTTGGATCAGGCAGCATTGCTTTGAATGCCTGCAGTTGGATCCTTCATGGTTAAACCTATGCCAAGGTCTCTTTCCATAGCTATGGCAGCAGGAAGGCAAGTAAAAGCCAAGGTATTTGCAGCTATTTAATGCTCCTCTGCGTCTGAATATAAATGAGTTCCCTCCTTTTGGCACCTGGGCTTGAAATTACCATTTTGTATTCTGATGGATTCCTTTTTTAAGGCTACAAGAAGCAACCTTGAAAACTGCGTGCAGTGAATCAAGGCAGCAGGGACTTCATCACAGCATAGCTTCAAGTGGATTTCTCTTCTAACAGGAGGAGACAGAGCAATGAGAGTGAGCACACAGCAACAGAAGCTTTTCATGTTTCAGGCTTCGCTTTTGCTTTTTGTCAGAGTTTTGGGAAGCACTGGTGATACTGATACAGCTAGCAAATGAGCTTGAAAGGGAACAAAGCATCTCTTAATAAAAACAGCTCTTAGTTAGAAGGGGAATAAAATATTTCCTATATACTCAGCTGAAACCAAGGTGCCAGGATGCAGAGGTAGATAATGGAAGAAAATAATCTGAAAGAAAAAAAAATGGTGTTTTACTCTTGAGACATTCCTTCCTCCCTTTGTCACCGTAGAGTCCATCAAAGCAGGAGGGAATGAGGACTGGAGGAAACCAGAACTTGATGAGAGACAGAGTGGGAAACAGCACCTGATACCTCTGAGACCATCCAGCATCAAGATACTGGTAGGCCTGTAAAAATCACTATTTATCGTGGCAAAAAGCATAATCTCCCACTTTCCCTCGGGGGCCAGGGATGAACAGCCTAAAAGGCACAAGCTCCCGGCCACACTTACACTCCACCGCTCAGTCGCAAAGCCCAGAGACTCAGATGCCAGGTATGTGGGAGGAAGCCAAAAACACCCTTAATGCTAAAAAGCTAAAAATGCTAAAAAGGTGATGGGCGAGGGTGCTGGGGGCACAGGCAGCGTGCTCATTGGCACACCACCCATAGGCAAGGGCTCTGGCAGAAGCAGGAATGAAGTTTAACCCATAGTTTGGCCACTCATCCTGACAGGCAGACCTTTACTTTCCCATAGTGGAACGCTATACAGCAGAGCCTTACCTTAGGATAAGTGCAGTTAAGTAAGAAATGAGTTGAATTAAGAAGAGAGATTCAGATTCTTCAGATTTTCTTTACTCTTAGAGGCTTTTGTGTTTCATACTTGAAAATTTTGCTTAGTCAGTGGAAGTCAGATGCCAATGTCTTAAAAGCTTAGGCTAAAAGAGAATCTGTTTCTAAAAATCTTTAAAAAATCTAATTAATTTTAAGTTAAAGCTTGAATACTCAACTCTTCCCTGCGTGCAAGGGAACAGGAGTAGAGTTGGTGCTAGCTGATAGCAAGTTGGGACTAAGGTTGATATTCTTCTCCCAACCCCAAGTCTTCGATAGCCCTAGCTTACCTTAGACAGGTGCAGCATGAAAGAGTGATCTGTTTCCTAAAAAAATAAATAAAAATAAATTTTAAGAAATCATAGTAGCACACTTATTTCTCTTTGCCTTCTAGCTAACATTTTGAGATTGGCTAATTAAAATCTGCCCCAATCTACATAAACACATTTTTACAAGAATTATTAATGGCAACTGTAAATTCACCATAATTCTTTATACCCTGTATGCTCCACTCAAAAAGTACAGAACTGATGGAATCAGTGCTGCTGAACGAGCAAGTACTTCAGTCAATGCTATCCTGCTCCAGGACCTTTCCATACAATGAATGCATTAGCAAGGAATCACACACATTTCTTGTCTCTCCAAGTCACACTGTTGTGCGTATGGAACCTAAAATCCCACCTGCCTGTGCTTTTTAGATTTGAAAGCAGTAAGAAAGGTACAGATAGAGAGAAAGCATAGGTCTAGGAACAGAATTTTTATTTGATTCTGGAAAATTGCAAGAAACAATTTTTTTTTAAATGATCCTTGCCCCGCTCTCAGACGACAAATGAAAATTTACAAGTAAAAGGATGCATAAGGTTAGCACCATAGGAGTAGTTGTTTTCTCTTTACAATTTCGTTTGATAGAAGGTTATAAAAGAATACAGAGGAAAAGAAAAAACTAGCTGACCACGCATTTTTATTTTCATCATCCTGGATACTTAGATCTAAACATCAAAACACCATGACTCAACTAGCATATCTAAATAATTCATGTTCAGCAAAACTCACTCTGTACATTACGAACTGCGTAGGTGTCAACCGGTAGCTATCACAACATATGAACTAATATGCAAGGCAAAAATGGTAATGTTCCAGAAAAAGAAGTGAAACAACAGACATCAAAGTGAGGAATTTGCCATTCTTCCAGTGTTATGCTAGTATGGCTATCGCCGCTTGCTGCAAAGACCAACAAGATAAAAGGGATGTGTACTGGCTCTGGCTGTGATGGGGTTAATTTCATGGGTCAAATATCCTAATATTACCCTGAAATATCCTAAAGTTCATTGGACAAACATTCAAATGTACTTAATCTCTCATTTCCTACCTGCAAACAACTACAGGAGTACATCAGCCATCATTCAAATGTTTGCTTTCCTCTACTTGCATTCATTTTTAAAACGTGCTCCATGTGGTTCTTATTGTAAGGTTTTCAAGGTACCAAACAAACCCTCCAGTCCTTACAAGGAAGGAATGCTAACACACAGGTTTTAGGGAGTTTTAAATTTAGGAGTTATGTGTTGTCTTCTTAAGGCAATGGAGTAATTACTTTGAGGTATCCTAATTTTGCATTATACATTGATACTAAGATTTCCTTTGTAAGCATCTCTAATTACAAAACATCTAAAATGCTTTATATTTTACTAAACTATTAATCTGACTTAGTTATTAATAAAAAAGGGGGAGGGGTTAAACTTGGATCATAATGAAGTAACTTATTGTCATAGTTTGGTTACTCCCACCTTTCAAGGTCATGTGCATGGACTTCTAACAGCAGCATTAAGCAACCAGTTAAAGCAATTGTTTTGTATCCAAATCATAGCAAAACCATCTACTTTAATCCCAAAGTAAGACCCAATATTACCCAAAACAGCTCCTTTTTCTTTTTTTTCCAGATTGATAAGGAGGCTACCACTAGCATTAGAACATCAGCTTCTGTACACACAGTTTTAACCTGGAGAGCCAACATTAACGGTGAACTACCCAGAGGAGCCTTCACAGGCATCAGTACTACATAACTTCACCACCGGAAGAGTAACGAGACTCTGAACTTTTCTTTATCTTTTCTTTATTTATGCTTGGACTTCCAGCACTGCACATCAAGTACCCAGGGTCTTCATCTGTCCTATATCAGACTGCAAAAACACAATGGTTTCTCAGCTGTCCTTGCATCAACAAAGCAAACACATTCAGCAACCCCTTCACATGAGTAGTTACTTCTATCTTAAAAATGCAGCTCCTCTTAAGGATTTCAACTAATGCTTCTGGTTTATAAAAGATTAAGTGCAATCAGTTACGCTGAAAGTTTATAATGCAGCTCTTGGATTGTATTTTCTGTGCACACATTTACATCAGGCACACGAGTTATATAAAATAGTTTGGAGTACAAAAATATGGTTATAACATAGGAGTACCAAACAGCACAGAATTAAAACAGTTTTATTACCATAATACCAATTTATATACAGACCCTCAAATTCAGGAATTTTTAATTTGAAGTATTCTTCCCAAATTGACAACTGTAGTGTACACTCTAAAAAACTGCAAATTAACAACACAAATCTATTTCAACCCCTACGCTGTCTATGCAGGCTGCACCAATCCTCTCTCTTGCACACAAAAATGTATTATAAATAATTTTTCACAAAATGTCATGTATGTCTTATTGCACATTGTACATGCCAATATCTAAAAGAAAGGCTCAAACCCTTCGCTTGATAACTAATGGTTTAAATAACTAGCAGTTACTTGTGCTATGAATACTACTGCGTTTTTCAGGCTCTAATCATAACTGATAATTTAAAGAAAAAAGCAGAACAGAAAATATGCTTTAAACTGTATATCTTTTGTGAATGAAATAAGCTTCTTTAAATTTATTCTTATTTCTACTTTATAAAGTTATTAAAAATATCTGACCCAATTAAAAATCATGTTTCAAAATTTCCACTTTTTTTTTCATTAAAAATTTATCCATACAACTGCTTGTATAATCATATGTTCCTTCTGTTTTGCAGAATTCGGTGTTCCCCTGCTGTATTTACTAAAGGATCAAGTTATGTATGTCCTAGAGTTAACTACAATGATTAGTGTCTCAGTCTCAGCTCTGCCAGGCTCTCCAGAAAGGGAGGAGCACGTCAGAGCACCAGAGCAGGTAGGTTGGCATAAAAAGCCACAGGGCACAAGTTGCCCCTAAGCATCAAGGTCACGTATAGTTTCTGTTAAGTGGATCTCTAGACTAAGGAATATGAGTAATTTACCGTTAATATGTGGGTTTATGGTATGCTGCAGTAAAATATGGCCACTAAACAAAGAGAATGATTCATGTATGACAGAAAACTTGCCAACTGGTAAAAATGCCCCACTGGGTAAAAATCTGCATGTTGAAGGTTAAAACTATGGCACAAAGGAAAAGGTTAAAAAGTCAACTGATCAAATGTTTTGCCATGGGTTTCCAAAGCTATTAGCCATCAACAGCTCTAGAAAGGGGTAAAACCAGCAAAACCAAACTAAAATTGCACTATTACAAAGAAACAAGTCCATGAAAGGGAGAGGCACCAGCTGCAGTTATGGGACAGCCACTTCAAGAAGCCGATTGTTTTTTCGTTTGCAAGTTGGGATGTTGCCATTTTTCTGGCTGCCTTGTATGAACTTCACACACACTTTGTCTTGTCTGAACTGGACCAGAAACCTAGGGGAGGGAATAAGAGCGGTGTTAGTTAAAGGTGAAAAATGCATGATCAGATTTTTTTGAAGTCTTCTTGAAGTCTTTCTGAAGGCCTTTCTTCCATTCACGGCTATAGCTACAAAAAGACACCTGACCCTGCTTCTCCAGGAATAGTTTATAAACAGTGTAATAAAATTAGAGAGAAAGCTGAAAGCATCATTAACAGTATTTTTGGTCATTTATTTGTACTCTATTTTCAACCATCTACAATGCGTCAGTGAGCTAAGCACCTTTTAAAACCAGATTCTGCAGACTAGAAAAACATTTAACATGGTTGTTGGGTTTTCTTTTCATAAAATAATATATATAAAGCCAGCAAAGCAACAATACTGATACTACTTTTTGTCCATAGAGAATTTTACTTTCTTACCGTACCATACAGAAATTAGTCATACCAACACATTCTTTGTCAGGGAAATAAGCTTTTCTCCCACTTAAAAGTGGATAAACGAATATATATACATATTAGTACTCCAGCTACCTTAAGTAAATGCCAGACATCTATCAATTCCCTCCAACACCATTACCCCTGTGACTTAGAAAAAGTTCAGCAGAGGGCAGCTGAAGCCACAACTCATAAGGAGAGGGCTTAGGTTGGCACAAAACCCACAAACGCTCAGTTGAGGAGGATGACTGCTCTGTCTGAGCAGCATTTCAAAAGCTCAGCAGAAATCGGGGTGAATGTTGAATCCTTAGGCCAGGAGTGAACTTGTAGTACGTAAGTGTTTCTGAATATCTCAGTAGACAGGGAAAATACTGTTAAATCTATTTTATAGCTGAGACTTCCAGGTCCACAGAGTGCCTTCCTGCTGGCACATCAGAAATGTGCTGCAAAATAAACTCCAAGTCATTGTCTTCTGGATTACACTTACTTAGCATATCTAGCATTTTAACAACTCTCTTATTTCTAATACTTAGTTAGCCTTTACAGCTCCCTGCTCAGCAATTAGGAAACTTCATTTCCTCCTCAGCAATCTCCAGATTTAGATACTTCCTACAGTTCAAGGTAAATTAATCTGGATTTGACCCTTCATTTTATACTGGGTGAGAAATTTCAATGAATTTGAAGAGTTGCTTTAAAAAAAAAGAAGAAAGAAACCATGCTCATACAGAGCATCAAACTTCTCACCGATCTGGACAGCAAGATTAAAAGCAATAAGCAGGGCAGTGCTGCTTTTTGGCTCACATGCAGCAGTTGCTGACCTAAAAAGTCCTTTGTAACCCAGCAGATTTTCCCTTTTAGCATCCTTAAAAAGTCTTCCAGCAGAGGCCAAAAACTTCAAAGAATTCATCCTCCAGCCGGAAACCACAAATCAAGCTGACGGCATTGCTCAGGGGAGGAAGTGGCTGTGCCGTGCCGCGCCGCCCCGCAGCCCCGCTTTCCTGCTGAACAGCACAGGCGCTCCCAGATTAACTTGTTCAGAGCTCCCCGCCAGGCAGGCATCTGGAAAACGTGAGTTAGTCACAGAGCCAGCATCTCCTGTCACCAACACAGCATTTTCCTAGACCTTTCCTAAGTCTTCATGCCTTGCCTACAAGCATGCTGGCAACCTAGGCAGGCAACATGCGTCTTTGGAGTAGAGCTGGCCCTGCTCCTGGGCCATTGCTCCAACATAACGTATATCCTACAGCATTTCTCTGACTAGACATAGTCCTGGACCAAAAGCATTTTTACTTTTAGAACTTCTCTTCCCAAAAAGTAGTGTACAGTAGTCAAAACGAGGTCAAATTTTCTCCTCAATTCCTGGTCATGCCTGTACCTAAACTCTGGCATGGAGACGAGAGTAAAGCTTCACCGTGAACAGAGATGGGGCTGCTCAAAAAGAAGCAAACAAAACTTAAAATTATTTAGTCTGGATAAACTCAAGAGCAATACACGCTTGAATGGTTTTAGTCTCCAAAGCAAGAAACAAAAACACATCCCAAAATGCAAGGCTCCCAGAAAGCAGGCTGTTGGCCAGACATAAGGCAGGCTGGCAGGCCAGACAAGTGCAACGTATGCTTAAATTTTGTTTCAGTGCTTTATTCCTCTGTAGCAATCACTAAACAAGAAACTTACTGGGTACAGCCACAACTCTCCTAGAGGCTAAAAAACACACGCTTCAGCAAAAGCGAACTAAATCACATCTGGCAATGGATGGAACAAAGGAAAATGGCAGATGTAATTTTCAAGGAAATAGCAAAATCAGCCTTTATATAAACCCTCAAATCTGAACAGATACAAACTGTAATCACCATCAGGACTCTAGAATACAATCAGTGCCGTGCAGCCAGATAAAAGGTTCAATTTTTGCCTGCAAAAACTTTGCCTCACTAACATTAAAGGCTTCCAAATGTTGTTCTTTATTCAAAGTGAATAAATCCACCAAATCAACACTACTGAAATCAGGGGGTACTTTGCACAACAAACTGAATGCATAAAAACAGTGGACTAAGTGATGGAGCCCTATTCAACAGACTTCAAGAATTCACACAAAAATATTTTTATTCCATGACTGCAAACACTGCAAATTCAGTCCTCACGTAAGGAAATATGAAGCTGAACCAAACTATGAAGCAAACAAACAAAAACCACAGTAACAAAACACCAACAACTGGTGGCTGAAGCACCATAAGCAGGAACTTTAAGAATATATTTTTCACCATCACAAAAAAAAAAAAAAAGTAGAGCTTTATAGACATGCATTTAGTGAGGTGCTTTTCACTCTGCTTTTGTTGTTTTCACTGGAACTTGACACCCGGTGTCCACTCTGCCTAACTGATACACATCTCAGAGGAACAGGTGAAGTTTTCTGTTCACACATGAAAGGATTTCTTCCTATGCATTGTCTCTTAACTGTATCTCATGCAGTATTTCTGCTTCACAGCTCTATTTGGAACTACGTTAAGAAAAGGACATTTTCTCTTATGATTTTTGAGGGAATAAAAGCCAAAAGGAATACTAGAAATGAGTTCTCATTGAATATTGGAAGCTTATATACAAGTACTCTGTCAAGAGAAAAGAAGCATTAGTTCCACAGTAATGTTTAGTTTCTCTAACATTAGATACTCGACTTTTTAGCACATTGCGTTGAAGGAAATGCACTTTTAAGCAAACAAAAGACATACTCATCAGAAATCTCAATGTTGAGCTTCTGCTTGGTTTGGCTGAGAGTAGTGCGGTAAAGTTTAGTGGCCATTTCGATAAGGTGATCGCTGCTCAACAGAAAATCCCCTTTAACAGCTGCTCCTGAACCCTGCAACAGGAAGGAAAGTAGTTAAGCTATTAGTCCTCTGTCTTGTAAATTACACAGGGATGCAGTGAAGTGATCAGGCTCAAAATACAGTTGACTCTTAAATAAACTACAAAGCTGTTGAGAATTAATAACCCCCCTTTCTGAGCCGAAAGGAAGGTCACCACCTGTCCTACATTGCGGTGTTTCTGTCTCCCTCTCTTGGCCATGCCACAAGGAACTTTTATTTCTTTTTCAGAAGGGAAGAGAAACCAATTAACACCACAACATTTGGACGAAGGGGGTCGGCGTGAAAAGCCACTATATATAGCATTCTTCAAATCCAGTTAAGCCAGAACACAAATGCCAGCATAATGATTTTAACAGAGCAATGCTGACAGTGCAGCAAAGCAAATACAGCACCAAACCAAGTTCTTTGGAACTGAGTAACCAAATGAGCTGTGCCATAACGTGGATTTATTGGAATCACAAAAAGGGGAGAGAAATATTCTACCGGAGTGGCAGAAAGAATTATACAGGGAGCTAGAAAGGAAAACACAGTCACAAGGTATACGAAGCAGATTAAAGGCTCATTTTACTAATGGAAAATGCTAATCCTGAAGAGGCTACAGTGAAAAATGAACTCTGATGTTCACAAGTAAATTATCATTCAGGATGTTATAACTGTTTATCATTCCGAATGCAGCAACTGTTCTCATTTGGCTCCAACACTTTTAAATCAAAGTTTTTTGCAGATGTGGTAACTTTTAAAACCAATGCTCTAAACCTACAAGTTTAGCACTTTGAATGCTACAAGACAATAAACCATTTGGATATTGTGGCATGCCAAACAGTCACATTACTGGAATATAAAGTTGTAACCAACCTCCTTGAGGTGCACTGCAAAGAAGCCATCGTTTTGGGAGCTCATGGACACTTTGGTAACATCTCCCAGTGGAACCTCTGACTTGATATTCCCAGACTTCTGATCCGCAAGGAGAACGTTATTTTTGGTTAATAAGAAAATCCTGGATGTAGCCTGTGAAAATACAAAATTGCAAACTATTATCTACACAAAGAGAGAATTGGGCTTTACTGAGCACCTTCTAGGAGTACAAATAGTCCATAGCGTTAATAAGCTTGGCCCACATAAGTAAATACAAACATTTGATGTTCAGTAAAAGCTTCAGATCAGTTAAAATTAGGTCGAATTTATTTGTGTCTAATTATAGATTGAGCTCTATATGAGCTTAGCTCATTTTGGCACATACGCTTAGATATAAACAGTTTCTTTAATTACTAGCTTACAGTTATAAAATCCAGAAACTGAAAGTCAGAACTATGCAAATCGGGCTAACCTCATTTCTCATGCTCTACCAATCCCCAGGAAAACCAGCATTCCTTTTCAGTGACAGCCATTTCAGGACTAAGCCTCGCATATTTACCGTTATTGACCTAAACTGTGTCACAACAAATTACACAGGTATTTTTTCCATGTTATGTTATCCTCCCTATATCTATCAGAATTTTTCTTTAGGAGGATGTACATTCATGCTTTCAAGCTACAAATATTTCTAAAGCATGAACATATGTTCTTAAGTTAATATTGGAAAATAGTAAGAAACCTATATTTGAAACGAGAGCTTTATCTACATAAACAACCTTCTGAACATGTAAGAAATGAATCCTTATTAAATGATCATTAAGGTCCCTTTCAACCCAAAACATTCTAGGATTCTATGAAAAGTGTATTTAAAATTGAAATTCCAAATAGCACAACTTATGTTTGGCGTAAATCTATTCTGAAATATAATGATAATGAATTATATAGCTTCTTCTCCCATCAAATTTTAAAGAAAAAAATCCTAGCCATTATAGTTAAGATGTGGCTGTCTAAAGCACATAGAACCATAGCTCATTATTATTATTATTATTATTGCATTTTTTCTTTTGTTTTGTTTTTTAAACTTTGGGACTCCTATCCCATGCGAGTATAAGAAAGATATTGTCTTCATTTAATTAGTTCTTTCCAAATTGAAAAATTCATTTGGCATCAACAGCAGACAACCTGATTTCACTCCTACAAATGCATAAATGACATATACATCTAAGGAGTTGTGATCTACCAGTAGCAATATTTAGACAGATACGGTGACAACAATTACATTTAGTAAGGGAGGATAATGCTTTCTGTTTTAATAAGTATAATTTAAATGCAAACTAAGTTCTGTGTTGGCAGGAAAAATAAAGTACCCCGCATATTTAACTGCTTTAGTTAAATGATACAAGAAACTTGCCTCTTAATTCCAAAAAGCTTTTAATATCAATCAGAAGGCAGGCACAGCTAGCAAAGTATGCCACTCACAATTTAAAAATGTAATTACATGTGATAATCAGGAAGTTGAATGACATAAGTTAAGGTTTCCAAATATTTGAACAAGAACAGTATTTTCTAAGTATTTATTTTCTTCAATTGGCAAACAAATGATCTACGTTTAGTACAAAGACTGCATTTAGTTGTGAATCAATACAGCCTGTTACCAGTTGATGAGATGCCACTTTCACTTGCAAAAGTCACTGAAAAATACAAACCCAAACAAGATTTTAGAAATCTTTATGTAAATTTACAATGGGTGTTTAGAACCACAGATTTACATAAATCCAACGTTTCCAGTCTTGCTGTTAAGAAATCTACCCTTCTGGATAAAGCAATGCCATTTTGTTACCTTCCCGTTAGCTCTATTGATCTTGTTCACAACTTCAGCAATAATGATCTTCTCATCCACAGCATCCTTAAGTTTTTTGTACTTGGGGTTCTTGCTGATCTCCAGGTAAGCCCCTTGAAACGGTTGCCCAACACTACCGAGCAAAAAACACAGGAGAAACAGAGTTAAACAATGAACCTCACAAAAAAAAATGGGCACTGCTCCAGGCTTTGTGGAGTCAGGAGGTGCACCAAATTTCACCACTTTCAACAGCTCTACGCTGACGGAAGCTTCCTTAATCTTGGATACACCTCCTGCCAAGGAAAGTCATTTGCTGCTTCATTTTTAGCAGAAGACCCAGACCCAAACAACCCAGAAACCTCTGCTCACAATTTGTGTCTATTTTCAACAGCAGCAAGGCGAAATGATATCCTCTTGTGTAACAGAATAATTAGAGCCACTGAATGCAAACAAGACTCTTATCGTGGTGTTTGCTTATGCAATGTAATTTGTCCTTGCTCCTGCTGTAGAGCTGGAAACTGCAGCTCTGCCCAAGACACCTGGGGTTGGTACCAGGCTGGTACACTTGGGGCATTCAGTGCAGCGCTGTTAGCGTTAAATCTGTGCCATGCGGGCATGACACATCTGTTGGGATCCACTTGGGAAGTCGTACGGAGTAGCGTGGATGTATCTACCCCCCAGCACGTTATCCCCATGAAAGGAGAGAAGGGTACAAAACGGAACGCATTTTAGACACGGTCTCCTTTACATGTTAGCAGCACAGTACTGCTGAAGGAAGAGGAACTCAGCACCGAAGGCAGTAATAGGATATTTCTTTTCCTGCTCTGGAAACATTTTTCAATTAAATGGCTCAAATTGTTATGGATATCAGGCACACGTACATCCCTGTACAAGCAATCAATTTTGATGCAAAATCACCCGGTTTGTGAAAACGGAGGAAATCCACCTTCAGAAAGAAAAGCGTTTCTGTTTCTGTGCAGTATTTCAGAGAGACAAGAACTTGCCTTGAAGATTTGCTGCTGCTTGTTGTTAAATGCACAGCAGGTCTTCGCCCAGACTCCCTGTACTTGCAACCCACCCCATCCTTACCTCAGGGCTGTGTAACAACAGCTCCCCTATCAGTCACCGCTTGTTTTGTTTAGAAGTCACTTTAACTAATCACTTTGATTAAGTTACACTCCAATTACAAAGTACTTTGCCAAGACAAGAGCCCAAAAGGAACCACTATGTTATGTGCAAGACCACTACCTTTCTAATTGTGTCTCCAGCACACAGGAAGAGAAAAGGAAGGGCACTGGTATTTTAGTAATCACCAGAAGTCCCTCTCTGCTCTTAAATAAGGATATTACATGCAGAAAATTAGCCACATCCTTCAAATCATTATCAAACTAACTAATCAGAAACTTTATACAATAATTTCCTCCACCCATTAAAAGAAGAAGAAAAAAACACAACAGGAGCTAATCAGCTCTGAATACAGTTTACAAGGGAAAAAGAGATGAAAATGTTTCTAAATTAGCGAGGGGTGGGGAGTGCATTCTAACTTTCCACTAAGTTGCAGCTCTTTTGCTTTTGTTTTTATTAATTAGCATTATGAAACCATAGTCACCAAAACCATAGGTTCCCTCTGGATTTTGTCCCTGATCAAATGACAGGGATTTACGAACTAAAAGTGGGACAAATTAACAGCTGCTTTCTACCACATTTACCACTTAAGAATGTTTTGGATAGCAATCGCTCAGCTCTACGCTGCATGATATTGCATCGTTCAGCCTTGGTCTTTTCCTTGTGTCCAAGTTACCTAACCAGGGAGACAAAATTCCTTCCTGCCCTCAGAGCTCTGCACTTATCAGATGTATACCAACTCAAATAAAACTGCTTGCTCCTGGAGAAATTCAGGGGTGCCATCTTTCTCTTTTCCCAACAGCATAAAAAGAGACCACAAAGCAAGCAAGGAGCAAATCACAAGCTGACATACACAGCCATTAAGTTAGGGATCTGCTGAAGGGAAGAAACAGAAACAGGAAAAAAGGAAATGTCTCAGTAAAAAATGAAACAAAACCAAACCAATAAAATGCACAAACACCCAAGCAGTGCTTTTCCATGCATGGAAATGGCCCCATCAACTGTTGCCAGATCCTGGTCCTGTCTTGTTTAACAATGCCTTATTCCTGCTCAGCGTTCAAACTCTGGTGTATAAAATAAATCTCTCCTGAGATGGACGAAGCCTTTGTTTCCAAGAAAAATACAATTTCTCAGTTCATATTCACTTAGAAAGCACAATTTAACTTCTTTCAAAGACACCAGATCTCTATTTTGCCAGTTTTATTGAATACAAAAAATGCATGCATTGCTTAAATAAAATCAGCTACTACTGCACTTCTGTAAGCAATACTAGCTCCACAGATAGCAATGACCAGAATTTGTCAGGTTTTAGTAACTCATAATCTGAGAACTCATGTAGAGATGTTGCACGTTTTTGAAAGTCTCTAATTAAAAAAAAAGAATTTTTGAAATGGAAATAAATGAGCACTTTTTTTTTAAAATCTTCCTTTCAAAAAAGTATTAAATTTGCCAATGTATGTAACTTAAATTACCCAGACTTCACCTCAGAGCATTACACTGAATGTACTAATTTTGAAGATAAGAGCAATCCCTGGCATGCCTGATCTGGGAGTGTCATTGTCACTTACAGCCGTTCAGAGCAAACTCTGAGTTTGGGGTTGCAGGAACCAGCGTGATGGAAACTAGGGAAAAGGACAAGAGCTATTCCCTTCTACAAGTTCTCCACATTTTCACTACGCAAACAGGTCACAAGAGGTTAGAACAACAAAACGTCATGGTTTGGGGACATAAGTGCTCAGTAACACAGGATAAGAAGCCTACAACAACATCTCATTTAGAGGCAAACTGAGGTCAGGAAAGCAAATGATGGACCCACAAGTGCTCAGCAATGCCTATAGTGAAATATTCCCAGGTGTTATGAATTGTTAAACTAGGAAATGCACTTTCCTGCCTAAGATAAAAAGCAAAATCTTGCATAGTTTCCTAATCTATGTAAGGATATTGAATTTATTTTACACTAAAAGCAGCAGAGTAGGCAATTACCTGGCTGGATATAAAGCCTTCTTGTCCTTGAAAAGTTCACTTGCTTCCAGTTTTTCTTCATATATCAGCTTCTGTTGATCGGTGAACTGGTCTCTGTACTTCTTACACTACAAAATATGGTATGTTAAAACAAACCAAAAATTATCCTCCCCGTCCTGATCTGAAGCAGCAGCACCACAGCCTGATGTTTGTTTATTGCTCAAGATACACATTCTTTGTATGCTTCTGAGATGACTCAGCTTGACCCTACGTGCCACTCTAGGGAGTAACAAGCCATGGAGGTGTTTTCCTCCTCACCCATTCTATGTACTTCTGAATTACACCAAAAACAACGTCTAAAAGATCTCATTTAAGCAAAACTGGTCTGAATACAGTGCTAAAAAGGTTCAGCGAAACATACAAGTTCCACGATTGGGTAAGTTTACACAAGCAGCCATAAAGAACAAAACATAGCTGAGAGGACAAATTTGCAGCTCAGAAATGAAAACAGTTCTTGACAATTCACAGAAAACATTGCCCACAAGCTCAGTAAAATGTCTCATCAGCACTTAAACTGATTCTCACCATTCCCTCCATACGAAGCTCCAAAACAAATTACAGCTGACCACAGCTCCTAAGTAAAAAATTCCACCGAGTACTTCCAATGTTGGGCCGAGAGCTACTCCCAGCCCTGGCCGTGGACACAAGTACTATAAGCTACCAATTAACACGCAGCAGGCATGTGGCTTTAATATCAAGTTAAAAGCTGATGGCAGGAAGCAATCCTGTCTCTAGCCCCAAAAAGAAACAGACAGGATAGTTATACCCCTTGCAGGCCAAAGGCAATGATCTTCCAAAGAAATACAGTCATCCTGTCTGGAATGGGAAGAAATGCTTCCTAAAAATAGGCTCTTCAGGAAGGAAACAATCTACTGAAAATCATGTGATAACTTTCTGTATAGGACCAGAATGTGCCCTACCCTCCACAAATGGAAAATCCTCTTTAGTTCCTTGTGAGTTGAATCCAAGAAAAGGTAAGGTCTCGCTGGCCAGTTTTTATCTATTGGCGATAAAGAAGGCATCTTATTCTTCATTTCCAAGAAGTATTTCTGCATCTGTGATAAAATTGAAGCAAGATGTTTTATTCACGTTCAAATACCAGAGGTACTGAAATAAGCACAGCAAAGCAGATGCCGTGTGATTAAAAGCACAGTTACCAAACTGCTGCTCTCAGCTTTATTAAACCTGACCGTAGATTTAAAAGAGCTGGGCATACTGAAAAATGCACATTTAGATATCCTCAGTGTGTGAGCTTAGTTAGTGCTACTCCCACACCTTCACAACACTATTATCTTTTCTTTACCACATCAGAACACCGTTATCAATTTTCCATTTGGAAAATGGACGTTTCCTTACAAAGACTATCAAGGCCACAAAAGAGCTGTTATCTTTACAAGAAAACAAAACAAAACAAAAAAAGCCAACAAATTAAGCACAGATAATGTAAATACACTTTGTATGGATATATACATACAAGTCTCTGCAGGGTGAATTCATAAATTTTTCTTCCAGCATTGGCTCTGAAGAATTTCCTGTACTCTCTACGGACCTGAAAAGTTAAACAAACCCCTCAAAGTGAATACGAAGAATGAATGTGTTTTCTCTGGTACTCTTATAAATCTTTACGGCAGAAAATACTAAGAAAGCGTAAGAACATGCAAAGTGTCCCCATAAATATGAGCAGTAACTGGGTACACTTCAAATATATGAACCAGACTGTGGACCAAGAGTTCAGAAAATTACCTCAGATGACCTCAGTACAGTCAACTGCACACTGACAGAGAACTTTATACATTTTCCTTTGAAAAGGCAAGATATTCCAATACTGTTGAATTCGTAGAATCCTGAATCTGTTTTCATGGGCTTTTGCTAAAAAGTAAGGTACCACTGGTGGTACATATCGCATCGTGCCTGAAGTGATACTGAACTCACATTAATTACGTAGTTAACTGATGAACTGTTTCTTTATGATTTCTCTCCTTCAAAATTCATAAAACATAAAGTTTACTATAATAAAAGCAAGACTTTTTTTTTTCAGAGGAGACATATATGACAAAGTCTTCTCGCACAAATAGTCTTCATTCCAAAAATAAAATATGATTTTGGAATCATATATCAAATAAAATGTGATTTTGGTGTTAAGAGCTTAATGAACAGGTTGCTTAATGAAAGCAAGCTTGATATTTGCTACTAAAATGTATTCAAAAATCAAAAAAGTAATCATTGAGGAGCTCTTTTACAGGTGATACTATGGTTTTATATATCCTTCTAAATGTAATCTTTCAGAGTATTGCTTTTGCCCTTTGTATTTCTCTTAGCATTAATTAGCACAGCATCTAAATTCCTCTCTTAAGAAAACCCCAAACTCCATCTGAAAGAGAGCACAACTGCTCTGGAAGTCTGTGGGAAGCCCAGGCTCATGTCAAGTTAGCTGAAGCATCCACCAACTTTCCCAAACTTTGGCACAGCCTGGAACACACCTGCTACAAATTTTGAGCAAAAACCAGGGAAAACATCGTGGCTTCGCATAATTCACCCCAGAGCAAATTTAGTGGTTTTTAGCTAACTTGCTACGTGCTGCTGAATTCACTGTAACCAAAAAACAAAGCAAAATCCGCATAGGAAAAAAACATATCAGCTTGTAAGAAAAGGCTCATTTGGCTTATTCTAGCATATCTTCTACTGTATACTTTGTGTGATGCATTTTAAGATAAGCCAGCATTCTGAAAGCAAGAATCTGTCACCAGTCTGGTGTTAAAAACAAAATAAAAAAGCACAGATAAATGGGCTTTTGCTTAATTGCACAATAAGATTCATCAACAAAACTGTGTGTTCAGCTGTCTTCACTCTGTGCAAATAATGCACATAATTTTGCCCTTCTTATTTCGTAAGAAAAAAATATTAGAGTTCTTATTCAATGATTTTCTGATTTTCTGTAAGGTTTAATGATCTATAATTGTTATATACCCCATATTTATTATCCAGTGCCAGAAATTAGCACACCCAAAGCTACTCGAGCTGCAGCAATCCCAAATCTCAACATGTTCTCACAGACTTTCCTTAATGACAGCGCTTCATGTTCTCCTTCCTGAGCCTCACGGTGTGCAAATTAATTTGGAGCAAGGGGGTTAAAGCACACCCACAGAGTCCGTTTGTGCTGCAGGGAGGCTGTGGAGAAAGCACTGAGAAATGCAAGCACTTCCAGCAAAGCCCACCTCTGGACAGCAGCATGAATGCTATTAAAATCTACTTATTGTATAACCCAAAAAAGGGACAAGAATTACTAGCTTAATCTCAACCACTTGCATTGACTTTAAATCTTCACCTCCGTATGTTTTGGGTGAAAATTCGTCGCCGTCAGACAGATGAGAACTGCCTGTGGTAACAGTGGTGGACTGGAACTGCAGACTGGGGCCCTGATCAGAAAAATCTGCATGTTTCAGGTGAGGCAGAAGTGCCACTTACACCACTTTAAAAATACTTTGGAAAACCACACCACAGACGGGCAGAAACATGTTCCAGCTGTAATGTGCCTTAAAGGTTTTGGATTCACCAGTTTTCATTTAAATGCTGCTGTTTGATATACAACAGCCTCTGAGTTCTCAGGAGGGACATATTCTTGTTTTAAAATCATAAAAACAGACCCACTTTGGCAGTAGTACCTAAAGCATGATTCTGATCTGCAGAATGACTTCTTAAAATGGCTCCTTTGTATTTCCAGCTCTGCTTTCCATGTATATAATGTAATGTAATTTTTATATGCATAGCATGCCTATGTTATATATGATTATATACATTTCATACGTATTTATCCCCCTTCATCCTTGCGAGAATAAGTATCAGAATATGGGAGCTGGACTTTTCATTATAAAGTTGTTCCCCTTCATCCTTTTGTAGTGTCCAGCATCCCCGTTAGCCAAAGTGGCACCCAAGCCAGACAAAACTGATTTGGATTTCTCTGCAGTTCTTCTGGACCATAACCATAAAACCACATTTGAAGAACTATGAGCACAACTCTATCACTTAAATCACATGGGTACAGACCTAAAAACACCCCAAGTTGCCATTTTCATAGTCTATTCACAGAGCAGAACTACACTTTTTCCAGATTACAAATGCGTTTTCTTTTGCCAACCAGTCCCAGAAAGCAATGGCCAGAAAACCAGAGCCCATCGAGCATCGTAGCTCTTCTGGGCACTGGCCATCAGCTGGGCACCATGCCCTGATGCTGGGCATGGGGCTCTAACATGAGTCAGGCGGCTCTGCCCTGCCTCCCATTCAAACAAGCAGAGGTCACAGTAAGAAAATACATACTTGTAATCTTTCCAGATAGGACCTTTGCCAACGTAGGTCAGGTTTTTAAGTCAGCAGCCAGAATAGAGTCCCTTTAATCTATCATTTGTCTTGCACATGAAAACTGAAATTCCTGATATGACAAAAAAAAAAAACACCCTAGCACCTAAATATTGCATTAAACGAGGCACATTCAGCTTTCATATTCTGCTGGAAAGTCCGTGACAAAAGCAAGCAACAGAATTTTGTGTAAAATCATCCTTACTAGCGATTCCCCACACCTGCTCATTTATGAAGTGTTAGTAAGGTGCCACGCTGTATTGAGTTCACGTAGACAGAAGGGAGTGTTTAAGAAAGTACCTTCAGTCCAAGCCAGTAAGCCCAAATGACTGCAACAGCATGCTTACGCCTAGCCTCTTCCTTCAAGCGTTTCAATTCCCTTCGAGCCTAAAAGGTTTAGATAGTGAACAAAAGAGACAGCCCGATGCAGACAGCACAATGACCAGGAAAAGGCTTCTCCCAAACAGAACAGCCAACTTAAAATCAAGGTACAGAGAGACAGAAGAACGGTGTTTAACCTTCAAAACCCCACGTGTCAGTGTGAATTGGTGTTAAGCCACATATGAGGTCAAACAAGCCTCAATTTGCAATTTTTATTTATTTATTTAACGTAAGAGAATTTTGTCTACCTTCTCATTTGCTGCTAGTGTTTCCATCTCATCAGGCGTGCACACCTTGCCATCAGCAGTAAGTACCACATGATCCAAATGATGTGCATGAATCAAGACTCACTAACATCTCACTGTCTTGTCAATCCTTCCACTGGCAAGTGCTGGTGCATAGCAGAATCAACTCTAAAACTGGGTGTGCGAGGATAATTACTGGCCCTGCACCGAGGGCTTTTATGCTCGAGGTGATTTTGATTTTTATGTTTGTTTTTTAAAAGTACAATCTCCGGCCTGGTAAATGATCCCTTTCTCTATGGAATGAAGAGGCAAGGCCCCCAGACACAGTGCCTTCCGTGGCTGCACCAACTTCCATGTCATCAATAATTCCCACTTTAGGAAAGCAATTTGCAAAGCCAAATCTAAATATAAAGGCACTATATGGGCATCTGAACCGAATCTCACAATTTAGAAGATACCTGGACAGTTGTTACTCTGTTAATTGATTATAAAAGTTAAGTGGAATTAAAAGCATGTTTTTTGCTCATTTAAATGGAACTAAAGCTCCTCCCATACTGCATTGGAAAGACAAGCATTCTGCAAAGTTAAGTATTTGTCTGCCTTGTGAAAAGGAAGGAAAACGAATACTTGAGGTCTCTGGCTTTTCTTTAAAAGCAAGTGATCTCTAGGGTAACTTAGAGAAACTTTTGTTTTAAATGTTCCCTTGGGAAAATATAAAATATCAACCCGATAGCAGGGTTATCTTTTATTAGATACTGCATGTCTTGTAATCTTAATTCAATTTAGATTATTACAATTACATGTATGTTTACATTTAAGGAGTAAGGAGTCCATTTTTCATGAAATTCCAGTGAGCCAACAGATAAAGCTAACAACTAAAACATGTTAAAAATTATCCAAATCTTCTAAATATTGAACTCATGAGCTCTAACACAATTAATACTATTGCATTAATTTCTGGTCTTGACCTTTTTAATTCTAAAGAACATCTTAAACTCAGGAAAGTACATATCTATTCTGCAGCACTGGCCAATTTTATTGGTGAAAGGTGTCAAATTGATGCATTGAAATTAAACAAATGTAGAGGAAACTGTGTCTCTGTCAACTTTCACAGCTACCTAAATAACCAAGCTAAATGAACAGGTTCTCTAGGGTGAGGGAAGTTCTGTACATGCTTGTTTGATTCCCAGGACTGCCATTTCATTCCATATCTAATAGCCTTATATAAAAATAGCAAAGTTCAAACTCAGCATTATACTTCAGATGTTATCTGAGCACATTTCTTCATCTTGTTTGCAAGGTGTTCGGACAAGACTCCCCGACCTAAATAATAACTGGAAGATGGTTTAAACTTAATGAACTTACAGAATGATATTTTCAACTAAGGTAAGAATTTATTAATTGAAACCAATAACATGTTGACCTCCAGTGAACAGCATTTCAAATGTTCACAAAACCCACAAATGCAGGCCGGGGATTAGCAAGAATCTTTCAGTGGGACTTTGCTTCTGAAAACAAACAGCTGATGCTGAAATTCCTGGGATTTTTCTAGGGCTGTAAGTTTAGAATTGCAAACTAACATCATTTTCTCCTCAGGTCATAAAGCCACGCTTTCATTGTAGTTACTCAAATTTTCTTACTGGTTTAAATCGCAACCAGAGAATCAATTAAACCAATTAAAACTACAATGTAGTAAAATGAATAGCATTGGTTTGGACTTGTAAATGAAGACTGCTCAGGGTACAGAATATACAGCCTGATGAAAATCTCAATTAGATCTCTAGGACAGTGTCACTGAAAGCACTTGGGGGAGGGGGAGGGAAGCACCAACAAACCACAACCTTCTCTCCCCACCACAAACCATGCTTTGCATATTTACATGTAGTTAAATGCATTTCCTCATTTGAGAACACTGGAGTCTAGTCATTTTTAATCTAGTCTAATGGCTTGTTAGTGCAAACCACTACTTGGCTGCCATGCAAGGGATTTCCTACTCTACAAAAAACTGACATACAGAATGCTGGCAGATTTATTAAATGTGGCATGAATGGAGATGGAGGCAATCAATGATCATGCTCTATTATTTTTAAGTCAATCGTATTAGTCATTAATTCTCGCTATTTACTACTGATTAATTGTTGATATTGTTGGGTAATGAAGGGAGGCATGTGACATGTGCATGAAGTACCTTATATCCAAGCCAGTAAGCCCAAATAACAGCAATAGAATGTTTATTTCTAGCCTCCTCCTTCAGTCGTCTCAGTTCCCTTCGTGCCTGCGATGTGTTTGAAAATGGGATATAGAAAAGCTTAGGGAAGAAAAGGTTACTGCAAGTTCCCAACGGTGGAAGAAAGAAAAAGAAACCAGTCACTACAAACAGCAAATACTAAAGCGTGTCCCAGCTTCCCAGATTGCACCAGCTAAAACATGTTAGCAGCAAAGAGAAACAAAAAATCAGCAGTTTAAGCCATTGAAGATATTCCCAGCTAGCTTTACGCGCAAGGGCCTTCTTCATTCTATGCAGAGACAAACAAGTGCAGGATTTGTTGCCACTTTCTTACCTGGGTCCCATGCCAGTAAGCGGCAATTATTGTGGCAGCCTCATTACAACGCTTCTGATGCTTAAGCTCCCGAAGAAGTTTCCGAGCCTGTAAACAATTAAAAATAACATATTCGACATAATCCAAGATCTCTAACTATCTGTATAATGGCAATGAGACTTTTCTTCTACACAGTGTATGCCTTATCCCTTTAGTCTGCAATAAGCAATAAAACACAAGAAAATTGCAAGGTTGTAGGTCACGCTTAACACTGCTGTCAGACCAGGCTTTTATCCACAGCACTGGTACCACAAAAAATATGTTCTCCCTTGAGAGAACATAAAAAAAAATAATAGCTTGAGATGATGCTTTTACCCAGTTTTCTTTGAATAACACCCACGGGAAAGGACAGAACATCAACAGTTAGACTGCCAGAATATTTTTAAGTCATTAAAAAAAAAAAGACAACAAAGTTAAAACTCAAGACAAATAATAAAACCAAATTATGCTAGTTTATTGCTGACAGAGCTTAAAGGCTGCTGGGCAGAAGAGGGCTGTTGACACCCAGGTAGTAACTGCAGTCCTTTCCCTGACCGATAGGAAGGGAACTGACTCCAGAGTTAAACACAGTTTTCTCTTCCCTAAACAGAGGAGAAAGTCACAGCTAGTGGGGTGGAGAAAGGTTAACAAGAAAACAGAGGAGCCCAGGGGCATTTTTTTTACTGAGGCTGCACAACAGTTCTTGCTTTAAGCATTGTGGCTGTTTCATGTGGCTGTTACCCTCGCTTTTACTTCTTATTACAACATCACTCCTTAAGTCTCTCCTATGGCCACAGGATTCTCTGTTCATGAAGAACAAACCTCTCGGAGAAGAAGCAAAGTTGTTGCAAATTGAGCCAGAGGACAAGCAAGCAATGTCAAGGCACTTGCTCACAGTGAGTATAGCACACTTCTGCCCCTCTACTTAGCACACAGAAGAGAACTAAAGACTTACCCCAAGTAACATACTGCCTGGGTGATCTAAACTGTTTATTTTAGGCCTGCTTTCACTGACCCAAACTCATGCCAGGAAGACATGAAAGGTAGGAGGCTTGGTGCACTTGGAATGTGTTTCCTTACCTACTCCTTAACTCACCGTGCAGGCAGAGCTGTAGCAAGAGGGAACTCACCTTCCACCCCCGGATGTAAGATTGTACTATAATAGCTGAACTCTTTATCTTCTGATACTTCTTCTGTTGCTGCATTGGAAATAAATACATGATGCTTACAACATTGCGACTGTGGAATATTGTATAACAAAACATTCTTTACTAACACCTGAAAATATAATTACGGGTAGAAGCCATAAATGTAAAACACAAACAGTTTTTAACAAGCAGATCAGAGCACAGACTGCGTGTTCAACTCAAGAGGAAACAAAGCCCCTCCAACAATGCTACGGGGACAATGCCGCTCGCTGTTTACAGAAACAGTTCATGGTCAGCAGCACAAGCGTTACACGGATTAAATGCTAACAGTAACAGCTTTATCTGTCTTTCCCAACAGGGTAGCATGCAAACTGTCACAAATGCTCAAGTTTGTTGGCTATGCTTTTCATCGCCTTTTCACGAGATTTGTGCTGGTCCTATTTCCTGCAGCCACTTTATAACACCAAATACTGATGATAACATAGGAATAGTAAAAAAAACAAAATAAAAAAAATACACCATGAATTTCTGAATAACATGTTGGAATATTATCCCAGTACGCTGGTTTGAACAATAAATTTTCAGCACAGGCAAGCATTTTCTATCTAAAAAGCGCAGTTCTCCAGTAGGCTAGTGGTTAGTATCATACTAAAAATGTAACAGTTGGCAAACTTTGCAATAATGCTTCTGGGCTTCACACTCAGCCTGCTCAATCACAGTGAACATCTCTGTGAGTGAGCCAGAAGGACTCAAGACTCAGTAAGGGTCTACAGCTAAGAAATCAACAGTGATGTGAACTCGGTCATGTATTTGTTTTCATTTCGTTATATTAAAAGATGTGTCAACAGAGTTGTGGCAACCCCATTTTCAATTCATTAAGATCATGAGATCACAAAGTAGATGTAGAGGCACTATGCAATCCAGCTCTGATACTGCTGAGCATTCAATCACAGCAGTTCAGAGCGAGGAGTTCTACAGTGTAAAAGCATTTCTTCTCAGATATAAATAACCACGCTTTATCCTAATCAGCCATACTTTGCTCTCATTATCCAAGATAACTGAACCACATGCTAAAGGCCTTCTAGATGATAAATGGAAGTGCTCATCAACTGAAAATGAGTGATTGTGCGCTCTGCAACTTCCAATTTAAGAAGATGCTTTCTCTCCATTTCACACGCTATTTTATCAGGCTTTCTGATATGTATACAAGGTTGTCTCAGGAAATGCACCTGAGACACTTGAGAATTTAAAACCTGAAAACAGTAAATCTTGTGTGTCATGTAAGCCCACATTATTCAGTAACTGAAGAAAAAAGAGTCATCTAACAGTACTGCTCAGCTCATAATGGAACAGAAGATCCAACCTACAAAGAGGTCTGAAACTTTGAGAACTGCATCAATAAAAACTGCTGAACTATGATTCTTAAGAGCTATAATTAAAATGAATCCTTGGGATCCTCCCAGGCAGCATTCTTGAGCCTCCAATGCAAAGGTTCCAAATAAGGCAAAAATACAAAAAGCTTTAGGAATGACTGAATTCCACAGAACTGCACATGTAATATTACCAAACATTTTTACGCATTAACCATATGTTTTGAGAGCACTGTAAGTACACAGCATTTGGTTCAGCTTAATGGAAAAGGCTCTCCCCAGCTGGGCCACAAAATCCTGCTCTCCCAGAGCTAAAGGACTCTAGGGAGCTTTTTAATTATTTAAGCAAAGGCACAAAGTAAACACTTTGCAATTTTCTTCTATGGACATTTTTTAGTGTTTAAATACTAATATAAAATTGAATTCTTTCAACCCTTCTCCATATAAATTGAGGAAGAATGTGAAAACCCATATTAAATAATAAAATTCTTCTCCCCACCACTGAGCTAGAAAGGACAATATCTTACTGCGTATCGCCTGTACCAGGCAGCAATCACAATCTGGCTTTTCTTCATTAACAAGAAGCGTGTGCGACACTTCCAACCTCTGTAAATCTTCTCGATGAGAGTAGCCAGGTCCTCCAGTCGCTGCTTTCTCAAATCTTCTAGTTTGAAGAGCTGTGTGTATTTTTTTTTAAGGTTTTTGTTTGATGTTGGAAGAAAAACAGCAGGGAAGAAAAGACAAAAAAACCCTAAGTACAGTTATAAGAGAAATCTCTCCTTCATTCAAGTCCCCATCCCCTCAGACATCTTTTGGTTTATTTACCTCGAGAGCAATGGACAGATACATCACCAAGGTTTATGGAAGATATACTGCCACAAGTCAGTGCATGAAAGTTACATTAAACTCAGGCTCACAGCTACTGTAGCATTGTATTGATTTTTCCTCAGTCTTCATCAATGTTCAATGTTCATTCATAATAATTTTAATGGGTCTAACATTAAACAGCATTTTTTAATGCTATATTCCCTACCACTATCTCAAAGCCTGGTATCTAGAAAAAGCTGTAATAACAAGCTAGCAAATTATGCCATTCATAGCAAGCTATCCTCATGAAAGATGGCTCGATTTTGCAGGGAAAGACATTTTTCACTTACCGTTCTGGGGTTGCGGATGAATATCTTTGATCTACCAAATGAAAATTCTTCTTCAGGGATTTCCAATTCGTTAAACAATACCTCTACACCAGCCCTAATAACAAGTAAATGAGCTTAGCAAACATGACCTCCAGCTCTCAAACTTCTCGGTTTACATATTCATAGATTAATTTATGGAAAGTATACGAAAGCGCATTTTCAATTCTTAAATAGTGCTTGACATAAGCAGATTGAAAACCTAACTCATTTACTCGCTGTTTGTTTAGCTGAAGGCAAGAATAATCACTGTAAAGATTCAGAATAATTTGATGAAAAAGGAGCAATTTTCATTTAACAGCATCAGCACTGGCCTATTTTTTCCTCTTCTATGATTTTACTTGGGAAAAAAAAAGAAAAAAGAAAGGGCTCTCACACTATCATAAAAATGTAAAACAAACACTGACAAGCTAATGTTCCACACTACCAACAGCTCTTTATAAATGCCAACAAAAAGAAGGGACAAATCTTTGTAAGAACTTTAACACAGTATAATACTGTAATTAAAACTGTATTATTACCAATACAGTGCTCCTAGCACTATCCTGATAACCTAAAAATTTGAATTGTAGCTAAAGATAGTCATCTGCTATGAAAGAAATCATAAATCTGATTTAAATCATGTTATTGATGGCCACATGCAAAAAGAATTAAAAGAAGTACATTTGCCTACCCAGGAAGTTATTTGTCAAGGCATATGTGAATATTATGCAATTTAAAATCATATAGTCCATCCAATTGATTTGCAAGAGGTATTATCTCATTGTTTAGCAATCATTATGTAAAATTATTCTTGAAAGGATGGGAAAATTGCATGACTGCCTTCATAGAAAGGGATGTTCCAATACTTTGAAAGTTGGTTATTAAAGATAAGTGTCCTTCTGATCATTCCAGTCATTTTCATTCCACTCCCATCTCTCTCTGAGACCCGACTCAGTAAAAGCTGTCATACACTTGAAAAAACGAGGTGATGTCCTTGCTCACATGCAAAAATCTTTTCCATCAGTAGATTAGTTCATCACTAAAACCAACTCCTTTGCCACAGAACTGTATTTTTTAGACAATTGAAAGGAGTAGGTTTTGTAGAACCAACCCTTTTCACAATGAAAAAACTCATCCAAAGTCCAGAACAATGGTAAGAGAATGAAACGCAAGTAAAACACTTGAGCTACATTGGCCTACTTGTCAAATTATCTTTAAATTACCTTATTTAAATTTTCATTAAATAAGAAAAAAAAAGGAAAAAAAATCAGAATGTATGGAAGATAATCATGTTACTCATTGAAATGGGAGAGGTGAGAATAAGAGGGTTTCCTACCTGGCTGGCCCTCTCCAGTGGGGCCAAGTCTGCTTACAGAGCATTTTGTACCTTTCCAGGCACGGCTCATATGCCTGCCTGAATGCATAACCTGCCCTCCTGACCCGGACGTTCTCCAGAAGACCGAGGTAGCGGATCTGGTGGCACACCAGGGCATCATTGAAAATGTGGGCAGCCTTCTTGTCATTGGGTTTGATGCACCTGCAAAGGGAAACGAACAAGGATGCTTGGTTGCAGCACTGCAAGTCAACAGCTATTATTGTAAATTTAAACCTTAGATTTCTCTTGACTTGTCCTCGGATATCAAGATATTATTTAACTTAGCCTAATATAAATTTACCATGGAGTAATTTACCTAATGTAGTTTGGATTTTTTGTCTGAAGATTCTTCATCAAGGTAGCTACCGATGCCTTGAACTGTGACCCTGCTGTCGGTGGCCTCTTTAGATTGATCTTGGCGGGGTTACCTTCGGGGAACAACGCTTTGATAAGAGAGTGACTGGCCTTCCACATGGCCTGGGAGAGGTCACGGTACAGAAGATCGTTATTTTTGTCAACAAATCCTTCCACCTGGTACATAACCTGAACAATACGGAAAAGTCTCATCAGAGCATGTTTTGGACTACATAACACAGGTTAGTTCTAGGCTGCGCCAAGACATTGATTTCCTCTTCTTTCTCAGCATTCAGAACAAATGAAAGATGGTCTTCCATAATAACTGATACACCACTGCTTGCAAATACCCCCCAAAGACCTTTTTTTTTTTGGTTGATAAAACATTTTCTCCCTCTGTTTTAAATCACAAGAGTAAAAATGTCCTTCTTCAAAGTGCTAAGGTTTACTTTATTTGCCTAACTAAACAAGATATGAAACATTACCTGTGACACTGTTGAGAGCTCAGTAGCAAGTTGTTATCCATGCAGTCCTTAGGGGACTGTTACTTACAAGGACTCTTACCAGGAAAACAGTCCAATGACAACAACCATAATCGCAGCTGGAGACCCAGGAGGCATCCAGAGGTACGTCAGGTAGATCTCAGAGCACTACTGGCTTTTTTAATTCAGTTTGATTAATTATGACAAGTTACCTGGCTGATAATACAGACTCTTCAGTTTCATGATTTCACAGATAGTTCTGTGTAGATGTGTACTGTGTATGCAGAATACCAAACTAATACTGACGTGGCCATATTTCACACAGCAGTAAGTGACTATGAACTTCAGTGATGTTTTTCTTTAGTGTACCCCTTTCTAGTTTCTGATAGGTGTGACAAATGCCACTAGTGACAATACTGTTGATATGTGCTTGCTTAGATTTCACAACAGAAGAGTCAAACCTTTGTTGTCCAGTGACCAGATCAAAATGTTCTCAGCTGAGGATGGAAAAACAATCCCAAAATAGTTGGAATTTACTGACTGCTCTGTTGTGCAAGTGAATGTCAGTAACAACTGAAGACCCTCACTGGCTGCAAAGCCACAGTCTGCTTGCTTTTTTTTGCAAAGCATCAGGGTATTTACAATTTACCTTGAATTATGACAACCAAAAAATATCTAAGCGTTAATCCTTGACAGGCAATTACAAAATCTCCTTAGCAAATACGTAATGTGTAACAGCTGCCTCAGAGGCTGGAAGTATTGTGTTTCCAGCGCTACTTTGAAAGGACAGGTTATCAAGCTACACAAAAATTTAAGATTGAGAAAACATTAAAATCTAGTAAAGAATTAAACACAACTAGGCAAATTAAATGCTTTCCAAATACTCTTTACTCTGTGAAAATAATAGTTCCGCAGACTGACACATGGTGTAGTTTCAACCCCAACTTTGCTTCAAAAACATAAGTAATCTGTCTCCATTTTTACAATGGTTTTGCTTTTCATTAAGTTATGCTGAACTATACATCGAAACCTATCAGTCTTGTATTTATTCATAGTGCTCATGTTGTAAAAAGCAAAATACATTTGCAAGCCCTCTGTGTAATTTTCTCTTCCATGTTTCAACACACAGACTTTCAAAACAAGCTCAGTTCCTTCAAACATACAAAAATTCCACTTTCTTATCACCCTAACTATTTCTCATCACCATAACCAGGACTTCACCTAGTTCAATGACAAAGAACGTGCTTCCCAAAATATCTTGCCTTCAGCTGCCTGTGAGTTTTTGTCTTTCTAAGCAGTATTTTTGTTTTCAGAGACCTAGCAGCACAAATATTCTACCACTGAAGCACCTGGGACACCAAGCCCCTGTGCTGCAGGGAGCCCTACCTTTGGTTTTGGCTACAGCAGCACGATCTCTGAAAATCTTCCAGCCAAAAATCAGTATCTTAGGTTTAAGTGTGAAAAGACTAAGGCAGGTTTGGATTTTCACATCAACTACTTACTCAGGCAGTCCTCCACCATTACTGTAACATCATTTGATGGATGAGGAGCCTCCCCGTTGTCCCAAACCCACACTCCACACAGAAGCACCACTCTCCAAACACCGCATGCTCCCAGCATCAGTAGGTACCTTGCCAGCGTAATGCTGAATCCTGAAGCAGCTGTGAGGCAAGGAGGTGTCATTGAGGAACCGGGAGCACTTGCTCATCCTGCTCTCAAAATGCTGGTGAGTGGCACAGACTTGGTTCAGCTTTTCTAAGAAGGTGTCATCAGTAACAGTCCCCGGTCTCAGGCACTCCTCGTCTAGCATGGCCAGGATTCCAGTTTGGTTCTGCAGTTTCAAGACAGGAGTTTTAGTGTCTGCTTTCATCATGTGTATATACGCATAAAAGGGAGACTGCTCTTTTCTGTGGGACTTCCACAACCCCAAAAAATGTCCCCCAAACCATCTCAAGGTATGGCCAGTTCTCCTTTACTCATCCCCAATCCCAACAGATTTTTATATCTCCATTTTTAAAAGGCTTTTCAGAGACTGGAATCTTCTAACTTCCTTTTACTTGGGAATTTCACATCACTTACTCAGGCCATAGAAACGCCAACTTAAATGAAAGTAGCCAGTTTATGAGTAAAACCAGCAGACATTTTAATATTAATTGTTAAAAACTTTTATTTTCTGATTGTTAAGGAATTTGCCTTGCTAAGTCCATAGGAACTGCTCTTATTAGATACAAGTATTTGTTGTAGTTAAAGCACTCAGTAACGAATCACTGAATTTTCTGGTTTCCATAGAGAAAAAAAAACCATTATTTATAATATCACATGTGATGTCTTTTAATGAAAACACCACTAAATGTAAACATTTCAGTTTCCTTTTTTCTTGCGTAGGCGCTGCTGACCATTTCTAATGCAGAAAAACATAATATTATGAAAAAACTGTTAATAAAACAAATGTTTGCCATTCAAAAATAGATGATTAATACGAACAGGGGGTTGCTTCTATAAAAGCGAAGTATACTGAGGGTGTGTAGAGATTTTATAGTTAAATTCAATACACGCATTATCAATTATTCATGGCGATTGTTAATATAACTTACGTTTTCTATTAGGTCACAAATTATAGCGTTGTTGAAATACTCAATATGAGTCCACTCGATTCCCTACAGGAAAAAAAAATAAAAAGTTTGAACAGGAAGTTTGAAAAAGTTTGAGAAGTTTGAACTGATGGAGCTTTTCCCCCCAGGCAATTTAAATTATATTCCGGTTAACTATTTTTGCATTTAGTTCTATATGCTTACCAACATCTTATTTATTAAAAAAAAAAAAAAACAACCACGGAATCATCTCCTGCTAACATTATCTGCGCAAAACGACTGCCCTTGAGCAGCTGCCAAACCCACTCTCCATTCCTTTCCCCCATCAGTGTCAGCTTCCCATGCACTCCTCTGGAGCTGGGCCAGCTGCCTCCTGCCCAGCCCGGGTCAGCACAGCTCTCTGCACGCTCACACTGATTAGAAGGGAAAAAGCCCATTTCAGTGCAAGCATCTGAGATCAAAATTTCTAAGCTCTAAGGGTCTTTTTTTTTTTGGTTTTGTTTTGTTTCCTTTTTTTTAATGGGTGGAAGAAAAAAGGCTAAATTTAGATGACATCTGAAAAATCCAGTCTGTCATTCAGATATTCTGATTTTTTTCAACTATCAGCAATAACGTTTCCAGGATGAGATGCTAATGCATATGGAGGTACAAGCAGGGTAAAGGATTGGAAAAAAAATCATTCAGTATTTGCATTCTGCAGTGACATCGTACAGTTTATGTTTTCCAGAGTGTTCAAAATACCACTCGAGAAGCAAATTGCAGTAATTACGTTTCATGAGTTTCCCCATTATACACAAAAAAAAGAAAAAAAAGGCATGTCAAAGCTTCATATTATATCCTCGGGATTATACAGCAGGAACTTGACTCAATTTTCAAAAATGTTTGCACAGCAGAATGGTTTCACCCAATGTGAGCACGGACAGTGCATGCCAGTACCTTACCTCTCGGATGTACTCCTCCTGCTCTTCTTTGAGGGTAAGTTCAATGAAGATCTGCTGCAGCTTCTCATTACAGTAGTTGATAATGAATTGCTCAAAGCTGTTGTCCTGTCAGACAAAACATTTGCATTTGGCTGTTGTGGAAACACACTGGAGCTGAGCTGGAGTGGGTTACTGCAGCAGTTGCAAGCCCGTGAGCTGCTTTATTAACTCCTCCTGGTTTTGTGATGTGATGGTTTGAGCGATATTTTATGCAGAGTGAGATTAGTTTGGGAAATTTAGCCCTAACCCTTCCCTGAGGCTTCCTCCACTGCAGAGAGCAGAAACTGTTGGTTTATATCCGTGATGCCTCTGTACCAACAACTTGGGATGAGTTATACGGACACCTGTGGTGTCAGGGAATGCACAGCTCAGAGAATTAGGAGAGGAGCCCCCAGGGACCCCTCTCGCACACCGGTGCAACTGAGGCTCTACTCCTAACATCGCCAGGGCCAGGCCTGCAGGATAAAAGCAGCGCTTCCTCTTCATCTCCAGGATGTTAAATGAGTGCAGTTTGGAGGCCAGACGCCCATTCTGAGGGCCACTTTCAAAGAGAAAGGGAAAATCAGCAGCTTCCTTTTTTTTTTTTTCCTAACCAGTGCTTTTAAGAGCCATTAATACTGTAAGAATTGTATACGTATGTCTGCAGCAATAACTGCAATCAGGAGTAATTTGGGATATCTACCGCTGGTCTTCTCTTCTGGGCTTTGTGGTTCCTCCACCTACCCCAACTTCTTTTTTTTTTTCTTTTTTTTCTATTCTATTCCTCAAGAGCACATTGCTTAATAGGGAAGGCTGAATATTTGCATAATAAACCACTTTACCTTCTTCCACTAAGAAATAAGTGTGCTCTACAATACCTGTGAATCTCGAATTATGATAATAGATTTTTTATTTATTTTTTTTATTAGGCAACTGCAATCATTTAAGTGCTTAAATTAAGGATCTGGTCACTATGATTAAGAACACACAAGCAGATTAGAAAATATTGAGGCAGCACAGATTACTTTGATCAATTTAGTTTTAGGGAGAGCAAAATCACAGCTGATCAGCAAACTTTCTCAGCCGCATCAGATTCTGCCCCTCACACCAATTGCAATTACCAATCAGAGGCTGCAAAACTCGCACAGCTCTAGATGAGAACGTTAAAATTTGGCATGCATCAAAACCGGCACTGCAAACAAGTCATACTTACTGCATTCTGTTGCAAAAAGAAATTACATAAAGTGCAGTCAGTACTTATACCACTTCCATAGAAACACAGAACAAAAACATCGATTAGCATTTATTTGGTGTACCAAGAAGAACAGCCTTCTTTATCACGTTTATATTCCACTGAAAATGTCAACTAGGGCACAGATGATATCTATTGCACATGTGGAGATGAGTGTGTGTTTAGGTACGGCCCGAAGATGACTGAATAAGCTGAGGGATTGAATCACATCGCTGTGTAGCACAGAACAGCACTCCTGCACAGTCGCACCTCTAAATCAGCACATATCTTTCGTCTCTAAAAGCCACACGTATAACCTTTGGGAGATAAATCTCAGTAAAGTGAAGGAGGGGGAGGTAGGAGAGAGCACGTGAGGAATGAGTAAAAGCTTATTTGACACATGCAGATAAAGCCTTCACTTCAGATATATTTAGTGGGAAGTGAAAGGATCCCAACTGACATCACCTTGGCAAGAGGAAGGGTCAAACACGCTTCCCATCCTCCTGCCAGGTACACGCCACCAACGCAGCAAGGCTGTTCCTCCAAAAGCCCAGGTTATTCGGGCTGCAAGGACGGCAGGACTCATATCTTACGCATCACACACAGCCCTCAAAAGGGGAGAGAAAACCAACTGCAAACCCAGATCTAAAGGGTCATTAACAGTACATTAAAGTAACTGCTAGATGCTTTCCTGACTTGCTACGTACCTGTGATATTTACGTTTTGACAAAGAAAATAAAACCCAAATCCACAGCGCTCTTTGGAAATCACTTATTTTAACCGAGAAAATTGTACTTGACATTGCCAAGCCATTGAAAATTGCCATTCCGGGAAAGAGGCATTGAAGTTCAGCAGTGATTTTGGCATTTATGTGCAATACAGAGCAAAAAGCTAGCAGTTGATTACAGCACAAAGTGAGGGAATATGTTTGGGATTAATGAAATTCTCAAAACACTTAACTCTGAACAAATCAGTAGGCATTCAGTACGTCAAATGTTCTTCGGAAAGAGGCATTTCCTTTCACAGGTTGTAAGAAACACTATGTGAAAAACTGATTGCAGTGCTTGTTTCTGGGTAAAACTGAATAAAGTAACAAAGATCCTGTGAATTTATTCACTCTAACTTTTAATTATGCCAGGGCTTCACAAACCAGAGACCCATGCACACGATATTTTAATGATGTCTCCTTGAAATTAATGCGACAGAGCTAGGATGGGATCTAAAGGATGTCTGGCATTAGTTTTTTAGAAGACAATGGGGAGTGATTAATGCCACTGACAGCACCCCACAAACCCATGCAGGAGAAATGGGCTGGGAGGACCCACCAGCCAGAGACCGTGTGTGCTCTTGTGCTGAGCGTCCTCACTAAGTGACAGAAGGGGCTTTGCTAAGCACAGAAGCAGCACAGACACCAAATTTGGAAGTGTTATTAAATTTAAATATTCTTAGAAAAATTTAGGAAAGAAAAAAAATTAGGCTAGCACTTCTCAAACACCAAAGAGTGCCCATTTCTCTTCCAGGCCACAAATCTGCTACTTGAATGTTGTAAGCATCACTTCAATCAGTGCATTTTTACAGCAGCGTTTCAACTATCCCTTTGAAGCCACTACGGAGTACAAAATATAACCTTTGGGGAAGAAAAAAAAAAACACCCAGTCTCTCAAATTAAATTAAAGGTGCTGGGAAACAGAATGTCACGTGAAGTAGGCTTGAAGTCACATTAAATTTATAGATCCGGATCAAGCAACCACCCTTGGCTTATCCTATCCACCTTTTATTGGGTGCAACAATAAATTTAGACAACTAGAAAAATGCACTGACAAAAATCAAAGCCTGCTTCACCATGCTTTTCACTTCACAAATAATGGTGTCTTGGACATACAGTTTTATTCTTTATCAGCCTTCAGACTACTGGGCTGACTGCTTGGCAAGTAGCAAGTTTTTGATCTCCAAAAAAAAAAATTCTGCTCCACGCAGAAATATAATGCTTATATAAGCAAGCAGATCATAATGTTGTACTCACTGAGGTGTACGAGTCACCCATGGAAAGACAGAAGTTCAAGTTTGGAACCACTGATATTACATGAATTACAGACAGGTGGCTTTAAAGCCTACAGAAAATATTTTTTGTTCCTTAATATTTTACCTAATTTATTCTTTGGAAGATTCCAGTCATGCAAATCATGGAAGTATATGAAAAAACACGTATGGATGTTCCTGACCTTATGCATTGTTGTACCAGCAAAACATCAATAACAAATTAAAAATATAAAATTAATTTTTGTCAATAATAATAGGGCTAAATGTCTCTTACGAGCCTCAGGCATAAATGTCTCAATATGCTGATGCTAAGAGTCACCTCTTGCATTAGATTTAAGTGTTGCATTTTCTTGTGTCCTTTCCACTTCAGTGTCTTCCACAAATGAAGCGTATTCAGTTCACCCAAACCTATAGCCTCAGCTACATCATCAGTATCACACATATTCATGATGTTTCTCAGGATTTCCTCTTCCTTCTTAATCTTTCACCCTACCAGTTCTTGCTGAGAGCCAATTCAAAAATCTGTGCACTGCTGAGTCTATGCCCACACTGACAAAAGAGGTGTCCAGCACTCACCTCTTCGAATGTCTTATCTGAACACATGCAACAGAAAAATACACGAGAAGCATTTAAATGAAAAGCACCATTTAAAACAAAACTCAGGTATCTCAAGTTATGAGATGGAATCAACAGACCTAATGCCATTACAAAGAACTTTTTGATCAATACTGGGGAGAAAAACACATACAGAGACTGACATTTTTTGGTCTAACACATGAAGCCACAGAAAGTAACTTTCAGCCAACGTAGCCACTGGCATCAAAGTCCCTGACCTCCTTCTACCGTGGGCAGGTGAGCCCAAGGGGTTCTGTCAGGCCTCTACACAACTACTGAGGCCCCCTATAAAAAAGCCAGATGGCAAAGGTAATGATGAAAATAGACCAACAAGCTTGCTTTGCTGAGTGGTGGAATGAATGGTGAACTGAGCCTGCAAATTTCATTTACACCCTACTGTGATGTCTGGGGATAGCGATCTTTATGTATGACCACAGGAGGATGTACAACAGTACATATAAAGAAAATGAAAAAAGAAAAAAAACACCATGCTTTTTTTTATCTTAGAAAGAAATAGGATACATGGGACCCACTGGACTTTTTTTTTTTTTCCCCCGTAAACTTTCACAAAGTTAATGAAGATCTGTTATGAATATTTATCCCTTCCTGAGGAGTTACTGTGACTGTCTGGATAGTTCTGAAAAAACAGGACTCACAAAGCAGCAAGAACCTGCTACATCACCTTACCCCACTCCTCTGCTAAGACATGACAGCTGCTCTAGGACCAAGTGTTATTTCCACAGCCTCAAGGAGAGCATTTGTGTGCATTTGCTCCAGCATTTCTACTATTTCCTCTGCTGAAAGCAGACAGCCGATGGGATTTACTTCATAAATGCTTAAATTATAATGTGATTAATCAAATGGTGATTAACTTCCTGAGATGAACCTCTGCTTCTGAACGCTAGCTAGCACATAAGGGGAAATGATTGCTGCAGATCCATTCGGAAGTCTCCCTAGCACCTAGGGATCCAACCAAGGGTCACTCCGCAGAGCTGCCTGCTCTCACAACACTTGCCAGCAGACGTGGTTGATCAATTCCAGATTAAAAACTCAGTTCTCCTCTTGCACACTAGCCTGGGCTTTGTCCTGTGCGATCAGATTGAGCAGAGGGCTGGGTACGTGCATCTTGGCACCACTGCTTGCCAGCATACGATGAGCTGCTTGGCATCAGAAAAGGGTCGAACAATTTCTAAAAGGAAATCTGCTGCGAGGTATAGTGACTAGAACAAATTACAGTTTGGAGATTAAGGACAACAGATAACCACAGCTGAGTTAGAGCTGAAGTCGAGACATGGAGAAAGGGGCCCCAGAGCCTAAAAAGATGAAGATAACAGAAGAACCTGATAAGCCCATTTGCTCCATATGCTTTTTTCTCTATTAAGTCTTCTTTCTAGGTATTTGACGTTTCTCCAGCAAAATCATCCTTAGGGAAAAGAAGTCTTGGGGCCAGCAGCAATCTCTCAGAGCTCAGCATGGTCTGCGACTGCCATTTCCTTCATTTAATGAACAGGCGAGAAGCAGGCAAAGCGACTGGGCCAAGCCTTTACACAGGTTTATGGTAAAAGGGGAAACACCTCCTCAGTTTCATCATGCCTCAGACATCTCAGAAATGTCTTTTCAGTGTTTACGCTCTCCTTACTCGGTTGCCTTTCTCTAAACAAGAGATAATTATCAGAACTGTGAATATGTTAACATAATGAAATGGCATTCTTCATATTTCCAATGGCATTTCCTCAATGAAGACACTGCACTTTATCAATGTCCAGCCGACAGCTCAGACACAGCTGTACATGCAACATGACCAAGCTTCTTTCAAGGGGCTTCTGTACAAAAGCAAGAAGCTAACTGTGCCTGCAGTAAGCAGAAGTGCTAGCACAGAGCATCACCGACTGAGAAAAGGACCTGGTTTTACCGCTGGGCAGCTCGTTTGGTTCTTTTTTCTTGGAGGCGTTTTTATTTACTGCTGATTTTTACGCAGAACACAGCGGATGTTCTTGTGAGCTTGGATCAAAACGAGCTGAACAGATGCTGTCCCAGGAACTTCTCCTGAAACTATCGATTCAGCCAGGGAATTTGGGGAGATGTTTAAAGCCCTTCCACGCAGCGGACGGCACTTCTCCCAGCCAGAGGCAGGGCTGCCCACGCCGGCCCTGACACTGCACAGGGGAGGCAGAGCCTGAATATCTGACAGCCTGGAACACACCACGTGGGGATCCACCAGTACCCCTCAACCACGATATCCAAGACGTTCACCACCCAAGAAGCGAGATGAGGCGCACCTAACACCTCAGAGCAACCCTCAGCACATCTCCGAGGGCTGGCAGAAGGCCTCGGGCCTTCTTTGGCCTCTGCTGTGGCAGCTCCATCCCTGGCATGGCCCCACTTCTCACCCAGCTAAAAGCCAGGCACAAGGTGCTGTGCCAGGGGACCCAGCAGAGTTTTTGTGCTCTCAAGCTGTCTCCTCTGGCAAGAATAAACCTTGTTTGGCAGCCCCAGCTTTCCGCTGTGGGCTGCCAGGCCCCAGCCACCTGCAGCCCTTGCCCAGCTCTTCCTCCTGACAACCCCACCATTTTGCAGGGATGTGGAAACCACGTCAGCCCCAAAACACCACACGGAGCACGGCGGCCAGCAGCCCAGCCGCCTCTGGATTTCCACTAACCGTAATCCCTGCCCCAGCCCAAATCGCAGCCCAGACTGCAGCCCAGCAGCACGTTTGGCTGCTCCAACATTCAGATAAATTTGGGTAGGGTCAGGCTTCAACCCACTGCCCGAGCTCCGGCAGTGTTACACGACCGGCCTGGTTCTGCAGCCTGCCTTTTTGCATTTCATCCTAGTCCCTAATCCTTGCCCACAGACAATTTGCACAGAGATGCCCAAAATTTCAGCATTCAGCTCGCAAAACTCTCGGTCCCAAAATACATCTTACCACAAAGGGCATGGCAGAAATCAAAACCAAACACAGCTTTACAGCACCTATTTTGGGGCTGGTTAGCTCAGCTTTCTGTCGAGATCTGCCAAACCCACAGAGGCTGAGGATTATCAATAGATTTAAATTGCCTAATCTGAGTTTTTGGACAGCCCAGTCCTTAAATCTGTGTTCTTGGATAGCTTTGGGGTTTGTCTGAAAAACGCCTTTTTGTGCTTGATAAAAACACCAATAGAAACCGAATACAAAGCATATAAGGCAGTATTGCCATCACACCATTCATTATCTTCCCTTTGCTAAGCTTCAAGAACTTTCCAGTTACTTTGTAAGCAAACTTCACCTTAAATTGCAGAAAATCTCAGAAAAATAAAAAAACAGCAGCCAGTAAGCAGTCATCTTTCAAAACCAGCTGAAAGAAACCTCATTTACATAAACTTTAATTTGTTTATAATAAATCATCATCAAAAGGTCAAACGTAGGATTTTTCAGAATGGTAGATCCTGTGGTGTGTTTTTTTTTTATATTATTATTTATTTATTTTTATTCTTCTTATAGGAGGAATTGTAAGATGATTTAAGGAATCATCCTCAACAGGAATAAGGCCTGGCTGGGACTTATTAAAAAAAAATCCAGTTTTTGCAGTGGAAGCAGATTACTCTTTAATGTATTCCAATAACTTTTAAGTGAGAACCTCAGAGCAAAACAGCTAACTAGAATATCATTAGTTTACTCTTATAGTGAACCTGATGGGCAAGTGTAACATTAAAGGCAAAAAAATAAACGTTAAAAAAATCAGTAAGCAGCTAACCTGCCACTTATTGCAATGGTGTTAATCTTCCCATGTAAATATTTAGCATATATATGAAAAACTCCTGCTACCCCTGCTATGATTTTTTTTTGCGTGTTCTGTCTCCATTCATGATCATAACTAGACAGAAACAGATGGGGAATTAGATGATCTTTAAGGTCATTTAATGATAGATCTAGCTGCTTCCTGGGTAGAAACATGTTTAAAGCAGGTCTTTTTATCTTCAGCATATCAAACACTTTACAAACTTAAAACTCAGACCTTTTTTTTTTTTTTTTAACAAGTGATTAAGTCTTTCAAATTTATTTTAGCAAAAAAAATTCTTTGTGATCATGTTAATTCTAACCTTTAAGAACAAACATAATGAAAATATGACTTAAGAATTAGATTCAAAAGGGAACTGCACATTTTTAGTTAGTGGTTGTAAGTGATTTTTCATTAGATGGATAATAGTCACTGCCATCAGCTACACTTCAGCTAATATTTGAATGTTTAGTAATCATATTTCCAAAGGCACTACACAGCAAAACACTTCAAATTTTACTACATTTTTAATGCTAAAAATCTTAAGACATTATTGACTTTTCATCAAGTTTCCCTTATTGACCATCATTGAAATTTCATTCATTTATTGCTTGGTTTAATATAATTAATATTAACACTACATATTTTCTGTGAAGCAGTTACTTGAGGTCTCAACAATAACTGTTGAGACACTGTGTTTTCTCAAAATCTTTAATAATTTTTGTGAGGCTTGATCATTTGTTTTAAGACTCAACATAAAAGTATTTGTCTGGCATCCTCTCAGTTGATGTTACTATATATACATTCATTCAACTGACCACAAGAACAACCACGCTTTGTCTCTGCAGACTTATTTTACTCCATTTAAGGATTATGACATTACATCATCTTTTATTCCAACAAGAGCTGCATAGAAAATGAATTTTCTTTTGCTTTGAAAAGAGTGTCTTTGATTCATCAAGAGATTCTTTGCCTTTGAGAATAAATCAGCAGTTTCTGATGATAAAATTAACCTGTCTGGAAACACAGGGATGGCTAAATGGGAAATACACCTGATGCAAGATTTTCTGAGGGATTCTTTTGCTATCAACACCCTTTAAATTACAGTACTGCTATGCAGTCCCAATACTGACAGCTGTACTCTGTAGCAAATCCAGAAAGCTAATTTAATCGGGTTGCTTATTCAAACATCTTCAAATAAAAATTTGGTATAATACCAGCCACATGTGTTTCTCGCATGTTGTCTGAATCCCATTTTGGATGTTCAGAAAAAATTCCACTTATTTCAATGATGCTGAACCAAGATGCTTAGGTGGAGCCCTCACCAGACCTTAGTGCGCGAGAGAAACGATCCCATCTTGCATGAATGTATTTATGAATTGCCTTTCCCACCTCTTCCAGTAGAAGCAGTGCTCATCATTTAAAGAACTGAAAAACAACTGCCCATATTATTCTAAAGTTTTTTGTCTGAATTGGAAAGTTGCCCTGTAATTCAGTTTGCAAGGTAAGGGAGAAAAGCCTTTTTTTCTCTTTTCCTTTTGCAAAACTGCATCACCTGTACTCAGCTACTTACTAATAACCTTCTCAAATGTTGAACTCCTACAAAAAACAAAATGACATGAGAGAAACAAGCTTTATTTAGCCTGTTTCTGCAACACCACCCCACAAACACCATTACACAGTTGGCTTACGCGCTTCTGCAAGCTTCCAGCTTCCACCTCCCCCTACAGACTTACCCTTAAATCAAACAGAACAGAAAGGTAATGAAAACAAGGGTCCTGCCCCGAGATGTCAGTACTACCTTTGCACTGCACAGCTTGCTAAGGGTACACACCAAGGACCAGCACCAGAGATCTTGTGCTGAAACCTGAATTCAGCCACATGACTGCTTGCAATGTATTTTCATAAATACTCTCTTATGTTTAATACAAACAATATAAACCTAGCTGAGTAAACCCTTGAAGCAAGTATCAGCTTTGTTTTTCCTCTTCGCAGAGGTATTTTGATTTGCACATACTTTGATGTTATGCTTCTGAAATAAAGCTTACACCACCCTCCCACATGTAATTACTCTTCTCTAGATTGTTCCCATCTTCTACAGTCTAAACATCCCCGGATTTTCAAGAATGATGTAGGGAAGTGGGTAAGGTTTGAATGTTTTCTACTCATGTTTCTCCCCAGTTGAGTTTCTAGTTCAAATAGTATTCTAATATTTCCAACCAAGACCTATAAATCTCTTAAAATAAACTGTCAGAGTAAGATTTATGAAGACCCCCTCCCCCCGATGTTCTTTAACCCAATTAAAAATTCCTCATTTATTGTTTTTGTTTTAGAATATCTCCAGTCTAAAAATACTATCGTAAACAAACAGCAGTGAGCCACAGATCATCAGCTAGGAATCAGTACAGAGTATTTATCTAAGTGAACCAAAATTAAATGGAGTATAATTCCTTGTCTGATTTTGACAGGAAAAAATGTATAGTTTCTGGTTCGATTTTTAAAGGAAGCAAAACTTGTTCAAAGACACCTACAAAACGCTTGGGTTTCTCTTATGTTCAGAATGTATGTCACAACAAAAAGCATTGAAGTTTATTGTCATAAATATTTATTTACCTATGGTGTAAAAACACAAGTTTGTCTTCCAAGAATTTTTGTTTCAGTTGCCATACACACCAAGACATTCTTTCTCTGGCTTACTTTTCTACATTTTTTTTTGTCAGTATGACACACTTAATCAAATTACATGTATTGTGCTTACATATTCATAAACTACTCTATTAGGTTTAATAACATCTTTCACATTAAATGTTTACTATTATAAAGGTCTTACCTCAAAAATTTCAAAGCCATAGATGTCCAGCACGCCCATCACCTTCTTTCTCACTTTAGTTTGTGCCTTTAAAAAATATTAATAATAATAATGGGTTATTCAACTTTTCAGACTGGAAAGTCAAGAAAACTAATGTATTTCTTAAGTAGGCTGTCAGGTCGTGTAAACTAAGAGGTTAAGTGTGGCTTCTCAAAGTAACTTAATGTGAACGTTTTCATGAGCTTACAACAGAGCAGACAGCAATTTTTTGAGCTGTGATACAGTTATTCACCTGTACCTTAACAGCATACAACCAGGAAAAATGAAATTGGCAAACGCAGTTTTACCATCCAGTTTAATTTAATTCACTTCTATCGATTTTCTTACAGGCACAAAACAGCAATACCTTAATGCTCTCATTGATTCTGGTAACAAGCCAAGAAAAGAGCCGACTGTATAAATTCTTAGCCAGAGCATCACGGGCGTAATAAGCCTAAACAGAAGAAAGAAGAAAAACATTATAAATGCTGGGCTAAACCCAAGGTTTTTTTTATGTTACCACAATATCTTAAAGGTTCTGTGAACTGAGTGTGCATGCCTCAGGTGGCAGTGCCTCTGCCTAAGCAGACTCCTGAGGCAGTGCGGGCAGCTTGCTGGTGCATCCCTCCATCCAGCAGCTGCAGCCAGGGCACTTGTTCTGCCTTCCTGCTTGTCTGGAAATCCTCTCAAGACTCACATCCCCTATCCTGATCCTATGCAAAGGATATGGTCAACTGCAGTTAGAGAAACTGCCTTCCTGCTAGCCTGAGCTGATGAGACATGGGTGGCAATCAACTTTGCAGCATGGCAGGAAGATAAGTTCACACTGGCAGCAGTTTTTCAGCTGCCCGGGGCATGCAACTCACATGAAATTACTCCAGTTGCTCTAAACAAAACCAGGCTGCTACACCACAATACTTTCAACGTGCATTCTGTGCAGAACTGCCTTAGCTTTTCATCCACTGCAACATTTTCCTATCCCTTGTCTGCTTGACATAATTAACGCATGAAAATAAAACACTCAGCATATTTGAACACTTAGAAACTGTTGAATAAAAACACACTTACGACAGTGATACGTTTTACTCAGTTCAGCCTCTTAGTTGTGGTCTTATTGTGGGAGTTGTGATTAGTTATGTAGAATAAGATGCCATTTAAAACAATTCTTTCTGTTACAATCAGGACGTCTTTTTACCTGAGCCACATTCAGTGTTGTTGAAACTTTTTCTTGCTTGGCCTCAACTGTCCGGAAGCTGAAAGCTCTCTCCAGTACCGACTGGTCTATACCTGTCAACTCGCAGATTTCCTTGAGCTCTAACATGAAAAAGGAGGGTGGAAATATAATGAGCCCTTTCATCCCACTGTTCTTATTCCCCAAAACTATTAGCTTTAAAATAGGTCAGTGTTTTCCCAAAACAGGTTTTCTTCAACAGAAATGTCTCTCATCCATGCTCCCTCCCCCTCCACTGCCAAGCAAAGCTTTATTTTATTTTTTTTTAAAGGCACAGCATGAGGAAGCAGGATCCAGTGAGTTATTAGCCTGAAAGCACTTTCTATTTGGATATTTCTGCAAAGAAATTTTTCTTCCATTTGTCACAGACTACTTTTCTTGATGAAAGGCTTTCAAATGAAAATAATTCAACTTTCAAAATGTATCAACTGCAAAAACATGCCATCAAATCGCCAAATAAATCTGAAACTACAGACAGAAATAGGCTACTACTACAAAAAAAAAAAAAGTCAAAACGCCTTCACTGCAGAATAATCAAGCAGTTACAGAAATGCAAAGTACCAATCAACATTTCAGAAGAAAGCGTTAATGAAGTGAAAAAAAAAATCAGTTTTAGAATTTCAAACACAGAGCGATTGAAATTGCACAAAATTCAACCCCTATTTGCCTGTGGGTGAGTTTTGGAAACCATCTAATTTAATTAATCTAGGTATGTGTACAGAAATGACAAAATCCATAGTGACTTCAGACAAATTAATGCTTTCCCTCCCATCACTAATCTCATCTTACCGTTTTTATCTTTGATTTTACTTTCATCTAAGCCATTGACGCGAGATTCAGGCTTAAATTCAATATTTCCCAATTTTAAAACTGCTGCCACCACTTCAAAAACAGACTGAGTTTCGTGATCCATAAAACCAACAATCTGCATGGCATTCTGGAAAGGAGACAGACAAAATCATAAGATAAAAGAATCTAAATTCAAACAACCTACCTGCAAAATTCACCATTTATACATATTAGCATGCATTAGAAATGTTTCATAAACACTTATGTTACAAAAACAAAACCAAACCAATATAATTGCTAGGCTTAGATAACAGATAAGTACATTTTTGAATGTAAAAGGTGACAGAGGATCTGTTAATCGAGCTAGCATATCAGTCCAATCCACTTCCAGGATTCACATCAGACTTCTGACAAGAGCTGAAGGGTTTTTTAAAAAGCATATTTTTTTAGCCACTTAAGTTTATAACCCAGCCACATTAACCATAGTCAAATGAAGGTCTGCTGTCTTCTCAGTCCACTCTGTTGCTCTAAAAGCAGTAACTTTTAGAATCTAGATTTGTACACACTGGATAACAGGGTCCCATTCTTCTCGACCCTGAGTACAGTTTAAGCAAAAGCATCACGGTAAATCAGCTTGAGAGCCATCTCCCAGCCTTGCTTTTCTTTCACCTCCATCAGCAAAGCCCAGCCACTGCCACCACCTACCCAGTCCCTGATATTTCTTACCCTCACTGTTCTGAAGTTCGCAGCATCATCCACCCCATTTACTCTGGCAGAGTCAAGGCCCAGGTAGTTGTATCTGCTGAAGTCCCGCTCCAGCTTGAGTTTGCCTAATAAATCGAATAAAAATACCATTGTAACAGCATGCTAAATTAGCAGCTCTTTTACCCCCAGAACCAGTATTGTCAAGAACTATTTTTATTAATAGGATTAAATTGTCTTTAAGGACCTTTCAAATTCAAGCATTTTGGATAAGAATAAGCTTTCTTCTTTGTCTGTAACACTTTGCAAAGCCATTTCTGACCCAGGTATCTGGTAATATCAAGCCATACATTTACTCCAGGCACCACCACCACCACCAATTTGAAAAATGAAACAGCATTGCATTTCCCACAAAAGAAGGTGGTCCACAGGTGGAAGAGTCCATAAAAGAAGGTCTGTTTCCAAAAACAGCGCATCTCATACTTACAGAGGAAGTCTTCTGATGCACCAGACAGGATCTGATAGAAAATATGAAAGTTTCTTTCACCTCTTGGCTGCTTAACAACCCGGGACTTCTCTAGCAGATCTAAACAAACAAAAGAAACCCCACAGGTCAGGGAAAGACTTAGCAAAGCACTTTAATGTGAATGTACTGCCCCATCTTTTCACACCTTATTGCTTTATCACCAGCAAGCCAGAAGACAATAAATGATGGCATGAACAGTATCACAAATTATCACGTTAGGACTTATTTCTCAGCTAAGTTCTCTGAGCAAGGCCCAATGCACCTCTAAATGCTGCAGCCTATAAGCAGAACTCAGGTCACAGGAGATGTGCTCAAAAGACATCAACCCATGTCAGTAAAGCCACAAAACCGAGAGTCGGTAAGAATTCTTATATTAAAATAAATAAATAAATAAAATATTATAAAATAAATATTATAAGATAAATGTTATAAAATAAATAAATGAATGAATGAATACCGAAAGGCTATGCACGTGAAAGGAAGACTTGTGGGCTTGCTCAGTACTTCTCCTGCATGGCTTCCACAATATCCCACGCGTATTATACCATCCCTTTCCTCACATTTCCATTTGTGCTGAAACTGCTCCTGTTCAGTGCTCCTGCTCCCTGCTCCAGCCCCCAGGGAAGAGCAGCTGGGGAGCTGCTGCATGTGGGAGCCCAGCTCTGGGAGGGGACACCTGCCCCGAGGAGCAGCAAGGAGAGCAAAGCAGCATCTGTTTGTCCCCGCTGCAAGCACCTTCTGATGGAACAGGCACCAACCACAGGGCTTCACCCCACAAAACTCACAAAACTACGCGAGCCTTAGGAGGCTTTGCAAATAAACTACAGCAAGACAGGTTCAAAAATTAATTCCTGCTCTAATAATTAACCAGTGACAGCAGGAACAAAAGTAGGGCAGGATTATTAAACTTCTAGTTGGCTCATATTAAGGCAGCCCCCAATATCGGCTCGGCTGCTTCATCCCATAAAGCCACAATTGCCTGAGAGAAGCGTTTCAGGTGCCACGGCAGGTGGCGGTGAAGGCAGCTCCCACCCAACAGCACATCTGACAGGGTGAAGGCTGTACAAAGATGAATCTCCCGGCACCACCAACTGTGACCAAGAACTTTAGACTTTTTTGAATAAACATTTGTGGTTTTGTAACTCAGTAATCCTACAGTTACTTTCCATGGCCAATGATAAAGGTACACCCGAGCAAGTGGCTGCCCCATACTGCCAGCAGGTCATCTTTACAGCAGGATGGGGCAGGCTACAGGTTTGCGCTTTTGCTTTTCCATTTGATTTTTCTCTTTATTTAACAGATAACCAACACTGCAGCCTGGAGTACCCGTCCGCCTCCGACTTCTCCTGAGGTTGGAGCTCTCCTCTCCTTGATCTGTGGCTGAAACTCAGAGCCGTCCACGAATAACCCGACCCTCTCTCATTTTTCAGCCCTGTCTCGTGAATTAAAAACCTCTCAAAGGGAGAAGCTAGCTCACCACCCAAGTGTTAGCACGGGGCCGAGAGAGGAAAGGCGAAGGTGAGGCAGCTCGGAGTCACGCTGGCTCTACAAGATCTTGAGCTAAGTGTCGGAGCGGATGGCTGCCAACTTTCATCTCAGAGAAATAAACAACTTCAGCTCCCGCGGTGGCTACACACACTTCAGGAAACGGCTGTATTTTCAGAGGATATTGAAGAAATGCAGTTTGCAAAGTGGTTTGGCTTAGCTGGCTTGAAAAACATTCTATATATAAATTGACTCAAACGCTGTCATAAAAGCCTAGCTACACATCCTGGCAAAATATTATATGTAAGTCTTCTAATTACATGCATGCCTTCAGCAGATTTAACAAACAGTTTTCTTGAGCGTATGCCTAATTTAACATCTTATGTTATAGGAATAGCTGTCTTGGATTTTTCGCCACAGTTTATTTTATTTCTATGATATATTTTTAGAAGGTTAGGTAATTAACAGCCAGCCTTCCAAAGTCCCGATATGTCACATTCTGTCTGCCTTCGTAATTGAGGTTAAAAGCTCCAGAAAGCAGAAAGTTGGGTATTTTACCTTACCAAAGCAACTGCTAGCCAGTTCTTTTTAAGGCTGTATTCTTTCTCTCCTTTTTTTTCTCTTCTCTTCACACGAAGACTGAAATCCGACTGGAAGCAAGGATGCAAACCATCTGAACTACTCTTAGGAGACTTTTTCCCTTTGTTTGCTCTATTAGCATTTTAATAAATCAAACGCATTTTCTTTAAAGCTAGGATTGCACAACCCGTGAGTTTGGTATTAACTCTCGTGTGACTACAAATCGTGTGCATGAAACAACCAAAAGAGAAGTGCAAAGAGGCACGTCAGATTTCTGCACGCTGACACTCGGTGATTCCAGCAGTTCGCAGGGGCACGTGTAGACAGATGGTGCTTATCTATACGAAAACACACACTAACAAAACAAAATCTCTACACATATTGCATTTGTATATGAATTATGAAAAGGGACATGGTATTAGTATGGTATATTTATGGGTTAGGTATTCCCTCTGCATTAGACAGCAATGCTTCTGCTTGAACAGAAACATCTAGCCTGTTTTGTGTATCAAAGCTACACAAAATGAAAATTAAATTGTCTGGGAAAGGTCCACCTTGGAAACACAATTTATGTTCAAATTGCTGATACTCCTCATATAATACTGTTTGGATAGCCATTTACTCGGATACCTCAAAATCCATCTACAGCCCTCCAGTCATGAAGATCATTTGTTACTCCTAGATAACACTGGTGTAAAAGCAAGATATCTGTGTAAGCATCCTGCCAAACTGAACTCAACATAAAAAGAAAAGGGACTGATGCCAAATACTTCTGCAAACTATAACGTACAAATTTATGTTATTTCTTTTTGGTCACTTGCCCAATGCAGAAATATTTAGGATATGTAATATTTCCTCTAAATATACCAGAAATCAAATCAACATTCACGAAAGGAAGGAGTAAACACCACAAGCAAAAAAAAAATACACTACCTTGGCACATTCTGAATAATCTAGAAAAAGTTTATTTTGGTCATCTCCTCTTCAGCTGGCCATTACCAAGACCCCTGCTAGCTATGGAACCAAAGTTACAGAACATTTTCTAGGCGTGGAAGCTCATCTCTACAACCACATTACGTTAAATCGTGTTCTGTTCTCCCACCTAGATTCTTCAGCTGTCGACAAAAAAAAGTTACTGATGAAAAATAAAATACAGCAGTGGCTTCTCGGGAACTTTTTCATATTATTCCTACCGAGTTTGTAATAACATTCTCTTGGAAGAAGCGACCAATATTGGATCAGACAAAAACTACTGCACAGATAGTATATGCAGTGAAAGAAATTAAAATAATAATAATTAACTAATCAAAACATTTAGGGTTTTCTTCCAAGCGCTTCTTAATTTAAGCAAGACAGTTACCTAAAAGGTGACAACTGTGCTCACTGAAATGCCAAGGGAGACATTGGGACAAGCTAAGATTATTTAAAACGCAAAAATAATAATAATTAAAAAACAACAACAACAAACACCAGAATAAATCTCTCTCTCCAAAACGTCTACTTGTAAAATGCCTGTGTAATATTTCCCTGAGCAAAGGAACTAAGAGCAATCACATAACAAAAATCAGCAGCCCAAGCTGTTGATTTCTCAGCAAAGGGGTAATTACTTTCATCTTTTATACTGAACAAACAAGTTGGAAAGAAGAACAAGTTGTAACATTATCACTCTCACTTGGCTAATTTGAAAAGTTGTTCGTTTAGCAACACATCATAGGCTTCTTTCACACTGCTTTTGGAACAGATGGGAAAACAGGGTCCTTTTTTCATCCCCTATTGTTTGGGCTTTAAGTACACTGTGCTGGTTAAAAATGGCTTTTCAAAAGCAGGCATTACATATACCGTACTTCATATGCACCACTGTTATCTGCTGGTTAATCATTAAATCACAGAAGGGCTTAGGTGGATTAGGAAAGATGACCTCATGCTAAAAAGCTAGGTATCTTTCAGCAGGAAATCCCAGGTGAAACGAGAAAACCTAAGGCTTGCTTAATTATTCTGGGCAAGATATTGGAAGATCCCTGCCTTTGAAAAGGTCTGAGCAACTGCCAGCGTGAAACAGTTTGGACTGCACCGTGAAAAATTATTTCAACCGTGAAATTTGATGTACCCAAAAATGCACAAAACAAACCAAGCGCACCCTGTGCTATGCACTGTGCAAATGTGGCACTGAGGTGAAGCCATGGGACGCGGTAAGGCTGGGTGATGGTTGGACTTGTTGATCTTCAAGGGTTTTTCCAACCTTGATTATCCTATGAGCGTACACACACAAACATCATCTTGAGTACAAGACAGACAGCATTTCTGGAGAAAGTCGTGTTTCACAGCTAGATAAACTGTTGCAATTAACACCTCGTATTTTGCAAACAAACACGCCCATCTTCAGTTGCGAGAGGAGTTATTCTGTTATTACACGAGAAAAAAAAGCTATTGTTCTCCTGCTCCCACCCCCACTAACACAGCAGTTTTAATAAAAGGAAAACCAGGAGGAGTACTGAGGGTTTCTGTAATTTATTTCCACAATATCATACCCAGGTGAAAGCAAGTTAATTACGAAACCCTCCAAATGCCTTCCCCTATAAGAGCTTTGGAAAAAGGCTTTGAGCACAGGAGTGAGCTCATGTGCTCAGAGCAGGACGGGAAGTCCTGTTTGCTGCATGGAGACCAAATGTAAACGCCGTGTGCCTTGTTGCAAATGCTGGGGCCTTCACAGAAAACTAACAAAAAGGGAAGACTCGGGCTTAAATACTACAGCTGACTTCACCCTCATGCTTCAATTACGGCATTTGTAGGGTCAAACAAGTGCAACATGCTACCTGAAGTTGTTTTTCCTTTGTAGTCTAAGGGGAAAAAAGCCTTGGCCGAAGTAATAAAAGATTGCATAAATCACATTCATCTCAGATTTTCCACTGTTGGCTTCTTTTTTTCAGGTTGTACATCATTCAAATGCCTTACAAATCAGAGCACTCAGAAGCTGCGAGCGGCTGTGTAATGCTCATGTAGTGAGTCCGTGTGTATTTTATGCTGTTCAAACACAAAATTATTGTTAGTTTGGGAACATACCGGTCCTAACTTCATAGGCATTACAAAACTCGTCCATTACAGTCCCCTGCATTTTATTATTTGCATTCTCACTTTACCAAAAAGGTTCACCCCTCCATTTAGGGCACATCAATGTTTCAGGCCTACCAGCTCCTATTAAAGCTGGTGGACATTTCCATTCACATCTCCAGACGGGAGCCACATGCAGAGAGCATTGTCGTGGTAATTTTGCCCTCTAGCTCCTTCCCCTGAGAGGTTCACTTGTAGGTGAACCCTTGTCATTAAGGAGCAAGAGCTCATTGAGGGACACCACAAGAATCGCTCACGGGAAGGTCACGATAGCATCAGTTATGGTGTGAAGAGCAAATTGCCTGGTCTCTCACAGAGGCTCAGAGCATTTCAGGCTAGGACAGACCTTTCAGACAAGCCCTAATGGGTCTCTGTTGATCTCTAACAGCCTGATAAGATTTGTGGCGTGTTTTCATTAGCCTTCTTGCCACCGAAACACACCAGCTGTTCGACACGTCTGCTTCCAGTCCCTCACCACATGAAACGCGGCTCAGTGACAAACGCCGTGACCCAGAAAGCCCACTGACTTCGCTGGTGTTTGGAAACCACGTTCATCAGATTCAACTAATAAAGTTTAATCAAAATATTATGGTATCATCTTCCCATGATGTTAACACCGAACCAACAGATGGTCCGAAAGCGAAGAATATTTATTAACAAACTAATCACGCTTTCCCTTTTAAGGGTAGGAAACTTCAGCACTGCTAAACTCCCTACTTTATGAATTAAGATGGCAAATCCTAAATTTGAGCACAGCCAGAGTAAATTCTAAATGTTGTAGAAGAATTTAAGCTCCCGCTAAGCCCAGAATGGTGATTCACTAGAAACATTTCTCATCCACATCAACGCAACGCTGCAGGCTCTACAAGCATGGAAAAAGCTAAGGTGAGACAAGACACTTGCTTTAAATTGTACAGAATCCAAACCAAGTCTTAAGAGATGGATGGACTATAAGTTCTGTGAACATTAAATCAAAGATTGTATATATTAACACCCAGCTACAGGAGCTCAGCATTTACCTGAGACTTGCCCTATTAGTATAGAGTTTTTCATGGTTCAGTGAGTATCATTTTTCCACAACAGGGTTTACACATAAGGTCTCTTTAAATTTAATATTCATCTTCTTGCTCTCAGATGCTTATTAAACATGAGAAGACAGGGGGAATGCTTAAAATAAACATCTTTTAGGAAGATTGAAAAATATGCCTGCCTTTGATTATCATCACGTCATTATAATTACATGCGATGTTATAATTACAATATGCTAGGATTTATAAGGCAGATAAACTACAGAGTAACGCTTTGGATTGCCTTTTGATATGACAGTATGTTAATTACATGACTCAGCACATTATATTCAAAGACAAACTGCTGCATGTCCATTCTGCAAAGCAGAGTTCACTTTTATGTCTCTATTCTGAATGAGTACAAAAAAAAACAACAACCAAACAAAAACAAAACGGCCTGCTGAAACCTTTCTGTCCAAAATTAATTATTGATGAATACACTTTGTCCCAATTTAATTATTGATGAATACACTGAGTGTATTTAGCTTCTAATTTTATTGACTGCTGAGTGTCAAAGTTAATGGATAGCCATAAACACTTAAAGAATGACTGCTCTGAGTATCAAGATCTACTCCATCACAAAAACAATGCTCTGTCAGGCCCGTCTGCAAAAGGCGATCTGGGGAAAAAAAGAAAAAAAAAAGAAAGAAAACCTTCACCTGGAAAGATGAATTATTTCACAACCAGTAAAATGGCAATGGAATCAGAAGCCAACCTTTAGGAGCAGTGCTGAATTTGGCTGAGTAGGAAGAGAGGTCGAAGGCAGGTCACTGACACCTAGTATAGTCACTCACTGCCCTCCTCCACCCCTCCCCTTTTTAAAACTAAGGAAAAACAAACAAGCATGGCTTTATATAGCACAAAAGAACAATTTCTTTAAAAAGCTGCACTTAAGCTGTAGAAAGAAAAGCAAATCAAGGCATCCTGAACTGGCACTCGCTCCTTAGTCTCGTTCTTTCCAACTGGTTAGAGAGCTGGCTGAAGTGTCTGCATTGTATGGACTTCCCAGCAGCAGCCTTACACTTCCAGCAAGATACTCTGAGGCCACCTTCCCCACCCTAAACTCAGCAGTTTTTTATGCTCTCATGCTGAGCCTTTTCCTGTACTGCGAGGTGCATTAAAATTGGCACAGAACGCTTTGATTCCCAGTAAGCACAGCTACTCCGTGCTGATCTCCGGCATGCTCGGTGTGACTTACTAATTATAAAGCAGCACATCTCCAGCATCATCTGCCATCCCTACACAGCCCATCAATCAAGTAACATGCCTGAGCCTGGGGATTCAAGTATAAAAAAGCCTCATACACCCTTAATCCTTCTGCTACCAGCTTCAGAGGCAACACACGGACCCGTGCATCTTACTCAGTCCCCTTTAAAACCATACATTGATCGTTCATACTTCAAGGTGCTTTTCACTTATTCTCCTATACTCTACTCAGAACCAAAACAAAATTAAAAAGCAGAATTTATCACGTAATGGGGACTGATTCAATTAGACAAATGCAGCTATTTTCTTCAATAGTTGAAGCAACTTCCTTTGAGGACAAAACATGTGAAGCTGTGAATATGCTGACAGCAGGAACAATACTCACAGTTACTTATAACTCCTCCGAGGGGATCACCCTTGAAATCAAACTCAATATCCATGTACTTGCCCTGTGAAAGCAGCACAGTTTAACACTGTAAGTTCTGTTTAAGAAAAGCTCTCTGAGACATTTTTAACAGTTATTTGATAATTTTTTCCAGCTAAAAGAGCAATGTGGCAACCTCTTGTGCACGCTATCAGATTTTGAAAAACAGAAAATGATTCGAGGCTTCTAATTTCACAATCACAGATGGAGATTTTCATGACAACTGCTTTGTTCAGGTCTACAACGCAACCCAGTAATTTGCTCACTTGCTAAGCAAGGCACTTTTGTTGGTTGTATCAAGAAAACATAAATTACACAGACTTTCACCCGAACACTAACACCACCACACAGTGTTTGTGGCCGCGTAGGCATTGCCACGCTTATTAACGGAGGAATGCAGGAAGAAATTATGTCCTAGCAGACTTATTTTCTCAATGCAAAATCTTCCTGGAGCGTGAATCAGAGCACTTAGAGGCTCGCCACTCCGTCTGCCTCGCAGGCCCGGCTGGCAGCGATTACAGCTGGTAATTGCGGGGTGTCTGTCCATCGGTGCGTGCCTGCCCTCTGAAAGCGATAGATTTTTCCCACTGAACTCTCCGCCTCGTAGCTCAGGAGACCGGAGGCAACAATTAGCAGGCTGTCACCACAAGAGCCACCCTGCTGTAGGGCCGCCGTGCATTTCCTTGTGCGACTTTTTCCGCATCACGCTGCTCTTCGCATCGTTTTAATCGACGGAGCGGACAGATCCACGCTGGGAGCGCAGCTCACACTGGCAAGGAAGTTTAGAAAGATAAAAAGTGCTGGTAGGAATTCAAACCAATTCCCCAAGCCACGCACAGAAATGATCTCACCATCCTCTGGTGCTTACTTAACAGAGAACAAAAACAAGCTATTGAAAGAATCGTTGTGTTTATCCTTCCTTAGTGTATTTAGGAAGAGACTTCTTCCTTCTTTCTTTCTTTCTTTTTTGATTTTAATTGGAGAACATGAAAATCAAGCACTTTACACTGACTGCCTCAAAGGTATTTTTTTAATTTACTGTGTATTTTGTCAAGATTGGCACATTGAGCTCCAAGTTAAACTCCAGTCTTCTCCTGCTGGCAGCTGAAGCAGACGAGACAGGACAATACTTGTGCTTTCATGTTTGAAGTTCATTCTGAGCTGATTCAAATTTGTGAGATAAAGAATTAAATCAGATAATTAAATCTTAATTTCCCAAGGACTGGGCCAGCTGGCTGTTTCCAGAAGTATTTTTAGCTTTGCGTTTATAAGCAAGGACTTGAAACGCGAAATACGAGTTGGTTGCACTTTGTCCTGGAAAGACTCCTGCTTGCACATGCCACCTCTCCTCCTCTTTGCTGTCTCCTCCTCCTTTCCACAGGACATCATCTCTGACAGCTGAGCGTTTTCTGTCTCTTTCTGTCCTGCATTGCAGAGGAAGGGGCAGGGAAGTCTCCCTTTTTGAAAAAAATAAGCCATTGTTCAGTGTAGTCATGTCCCAGGCTCTTATCCATGTGCTTTTTCTTCCAATGCTCTTTTTCGTCCACATATCTCACTCCCTCTGACTTCACTCAAGTAAGCAAATTACAAAGGTGCATTGAGTCGTCTGATTTTAGCAGCAGAAATAAATTGTGAACACACACTTTTGAGTCTCCCAACTCTAGCTTCTCCCCCCCTCCAATTGTCAGTTCCTGTAATTTCACATTCAGTTTCATGCGAAAACACCCTAAATTCAACCACTTGATTATAAAGAGTGTAAGCAAAAGGGCAACATTACAAATACTTATTTAACAAGAAAAGGTGCAAACACAGCTTGAAACACCAGAGAGGTAAAATTAGAACCCCAATTAGGAATTTTAATGAAAAAATGTACGCATTTAGTTGGAAAATGAGATCACACAAAGATCAAACTTCTAAACAGGCCACTTGTGAGGCACACGGTCACTGACACGAAGGCCACCAGCACCAGAAAATTAAAGAACCCAGCTGTGCTGTATTTATGTTTTCATCTGGTCACAGACTTTTTTATTTTATTTTTTCTCCTTGGGCAACTACAAGAATGTTCTCTCGCCAAATTATTCATTCACTCTGTGATGGCTGATACAAGTTAAAATAGAAACAGCGAACAACTTAACGTGTTCTCCTCTATTCCTCTACAAGGAGTTGAGATTCAGCCTTGGAGAAAATACTTACAAATCTAGAGGAGTTGTCATTCCTCACTGTTTTGGCATTTCCAAAAGCTGGCAAAAGAGAAGAACAATTAAGACCATATCTACCAGTAAAAAAAAAAAAAATTAAAATTAATGCAATAACATTTATGACTTTTTATACATTTAAAAAAAATCATAAACTTCTGAGATACAATACCCCATTCATTGCAGAGATATGAGTCACTGCAAATAGACTAAGCGTGACATTATCTCCATCAGGAAAACACCTATGGAAGTCCAAAGCAGCTTTGTGCTGACACTTCATTAACCAAAGCGAAAGAAAAACATAAAAAGTGAAATTGTTCCAAGACAAAACTGCACCTGCATTTACCGCATATCCTCAAATCTGAATCATCACATTTATAATTAATGATTCAAAATGCTCGGACGGGCGGCCACCAGCTCAACATACACAGGACAGGAGGACAACTCAAGCTCTTAAGATCACGTATTGTCAAAGCTCAGTAAGTCAGACAGGAGCGTGTCCCCTGCATTAATAATTAGAGTGCTCCTACTGCAACAGGAGAGTTGATTTATGGCCAGTATTTATTTATATAGCATATATATTTTCAAAGATCAAGTCAATGTTTTTTGGATAGAAATAAATACATGCTTGTAGGCTTCAACAAACTTGCATGAGTAGACTTATTCTTGATCAAAGAACTGGAGCCAAAAGGAAAAGTTTCTTGCTCCTGAAGGCCAAGGATAAGTGAAAGAATTGTTTTTAAAATCTTTATGCCCTGCAATAAATCATCTTTTCAACAACCAAATCTCAGGGCTGCATTTTCTTAAATGCAGTGCTGAACAGTGGAGTCATTTATAACCGCACCGAATCAGACACAAACGTTCCATTATAGAGCGTGAGACACGTTCCTCGGTTTTCCCTGAAGTTCATTGTTTCTGAAAGTTAATTTACAGTAGCCACCGTAGTTAAAAAAGAAATAAAGAATTCCCATAAGATAAATGCTGCATATGTAACATTTATGCCATTTCCTTGCACTGCAGCTTGACTGAAGCAGAACTACGTAACCAAAGGAAAACAAATCTAACCACAAATGCTTAATTCCTGTCTAAAATATATATAAGCGGCCAGGCTTGCTCAGCAGCCTCCTGGAATAATCCAGGGTCCAATAAGCTGTCATAAGCACCAAGTAGAACAAATAATACCTTAAAATCACAAGGTACCTTTCTGTGAGCTTTCAGTATTCCTCTTGCATTGAAACAAAGATTCATAAACTAACAAGAAATCCAATGAATTTGGCATTTGAGGAGAGCAACCTCACTTTAGCAAACAAGGCTTCCATAGTCCCCCTACTATTTCTGTCTCTATCTGAAGCCTGCCTTCCAGAAACAGGATAAGAGCAGCACAGCCCTTCTCTGGGAACCCAAAACCACAGAGGGCTGCAGCCCCCATTCAGTCTTTGGCTTTTACCCTTCCCTCTTTTTTTTCTCTTGCTCCCACTCATTTAATGAGTGCTTGGTATGTGTAGACTCCAAATCCTTACACATATATACAGATAGCTAAACAATAAATAAAATGCTGACTGTCAATAGTCTGACAAGCACCGTGTACCTTCTGACCCTAGTGACATGTCTTTGTACAGCAGTTATGAGAATATGTCTGGGTAGCTCAAAAAACTGTGGAAAAAAACACGCCAAGGATCAACACAACAGACCTAGATGAGTCAGCACTAACCAAGGCTCTTCTGAAGGCAATTATTAGACAATGGGAGAAAACTGCAAGCTCTGAGGACCTTACAGCCTATCTCCAGGAAAAATGAAGATCCTGTTTCTGGCAGCCAACCACTTCAAACTGACTAATTAAAAAGCAAAAATCCAGACAATCATGAAGTCCTTGATGGGAGAGCAGGAAAGGCAGTTGTCAGGAAGACAGGCTGACAGAGACACCAGACACAGGGAACAAAAAGTACTAGGGAATAACAGGCATCCATATGGATCGGGTTAGTTTTTACTAAGATCCATTTCTTCACTTTTTTTTTTTTTTCTAAAAGAAAAATAATGTTTTACAGAGATTGTTTGTTTACTAGGGACTATAATAATATAATTTGGAAGGAAATGAATCAGAGGGATTGAACTGAAGTTAAATCTCTTGACAACAGCAGGCATCTTCAAGCCAGGCTTAAGAAAGGGTACACCCTAAGAGAGAAGCAGGAGGAGGCTGGGAGGTATGACCTAACTTCCTAAGCTCTCATTTAGGAAGTGAGGAAAACGATTTTGTTTTTAAGCTGACCTCTCTGTAACTGAATAACTTGTGTCTGTCTTCACAGACAGCATTTTCCATGGTTCCAGACACCAAGTACGTACAAAACAACAGCAGATCCGGTTTTCAAAGCCAGCTCATGGGAGAAGCTGATACATGCAGAGGTAACACAGTCAGTCGCACACGCTCCAAGAGAAGCTTACCTTCAAGAACTGGATTTGACTGCAGAAGTTGTTCTTTTACCTGGTTAACCTCTGCCCCCTTGCCACACACTGCAGCTACATATGACATGACAAGTTTGCTTGCCTCTGTGGGAGGAGAGCAAAACAAAACAGCAGTAAGTATTGACAACTGGTCATAAGGGGAATTGGAGACTTGATCTCTATCATGTTTTCATCACGCCAGACAGAAATCATCAGCACATTTCAAGTCAGATTTCTTCTCCGTTGCTGGACCACCTGCCATTACACCAGTTGATTTAAATACCTGAAGTCCACCCAAGATAAAGGATATGGCACACTACAGCTACCTCTTCATTTAGCCTCCCTAGTTAGGAAGGAAAATAATCTGTAGCTAACACGCCTGAATGTTTGATCTGAAGCTTTCAGCCTGAAAAACTAAGCCCGAGCAGTTTCAAGATACAAAATTCAGTCGGTTTACATCTGCAGATACACAACAGCACAAGTGTAAGCACACAACATACAATGCTATACACGTGTCATCACAGCTCAGAGTAAATGACAAGTAAATAAATAATGGCAATTCAACACTGCATAACGTTACGCAGCCTGTTTCAAAGTATAAACTTTAGAGTCAGTAGAGACTTCATTTAAACAACAAAACTGTGTTCAAAGTTTATACCTTCAAATAGATCTGGAACAATTTTTGGACTCCAGGCTGTGTTCACATGGATGTCGATCACCCAAACAGGAATGAAAATTTCTGATGGAAAAATCCATCCAACCCTTACGTTTTTGCTGGTTAGGACAAAGAGCAGCTGAGAAAGAATTCTGTTTATAAACAGAGTCTGTGAAGTTCATGTGACACAAGACAGTGAGATTTGAGGCATCATCAGCTGATGTACAGTGTAATGACTAGCAGCTGGAATCCCTATCAGCTCAACACAATGGTCATAAAAAAAACATTACTTGCTAGTCAGAGATCTGTTACAAATTTGAGGGTTTCATTTTAGGAAAGAACTGATAAACGAGTTATCCCTTGGATTTTGATTCTTTCCTATTTAATCAAATTTGTTTGCCAGTATTAAATTACTATCCTATATTGCAAGGAATACGGAGCAAACCTGCAACACAGCAAGCAAGCAAGCACAACTCCAGGGGTGTTCATGTGGCTTCCCATCTCCCTTAACCAAGTAATTCCTCGAGCCCAGCTCTCATTTCTAAAAAACCCTTCCCTTCAGAGCTTGGAATTACCAAACTACTTGATTTGAAACATTTGCTAAAATCTCTAAGGAGAGCTACTCAATCAAAGAGACGAGAAAGCACTGAAGCAGCAAATAAGCCATTATAAAATAATATGCAATAGGAATATATACAATGGCCTCAAGATAGGCTTTGAACATCACTGAGAGAGAGAATAAAGGCCCTTTCTTTTATTAGGAACTCCGCTTCATTGACTAAAGACACCAGGAAGTGAATCACTGCCTTAACATCTAAAAACATCTAAACACAATGCTCATTCTGTTAACGTACCGTGTTTTCTTGCACAATGTTCCTGTTACTATCAATTATCAATATAAACAAGCTGCGAAACAAGTTAAAAAAAAAAAAAAAGGAAGTGAAATAAATAAAACAATTGGAGAGGGTTCAGATTCGATTCTCCCAGCCCAAGCATATCAAATGTTCTGGCTGCCAGAAAACATATTCTGAAACAGAGTTTTATTGGACCTGTACTACCAAGTTTCTTCAGCTCCAGGAATTTCCTTTACTGTCGTCCTTTCTCTTTACAATGGAAACCCATTCTCAGCTAATAGCCCCACTTCAGCAACTATAGTTACGTCAAATATTAAGGAGAGAGTATTACAATTTCTGAGTCCATTACTGTCTTGAATTTCAAACCATGCTCTTATGTTACTCTGTACTTACCTTTACGAAGAAGGAATAATTCAAATCATGGCCATTAGAGCTACGAGGTTCAGTAATTTTATATACAAATCTGAACCTACCAGAATCCTTTTTACAGAGAGCTTCAGAAACTCAACCACTCCTAAACCCTTCAGCTGAATAAATACATTAATAAAGATGCACTTCAGCTGCATGATAACTCACTGTTCCTGAGGAAATCAAAAACAAAAGAGTTTTGGTACTGAACTCCTTTCTAACGTCTGAACTCCTAGACAGAGTCCATAATAATCATATTAATAAGAACTCAATTATTTAATATATACTTTTACTGAACACACATGTATTTGCATGTTATTGAACTGGAAACAACGATTAAATTACAAGAATTTGAGACCTCTCAACTGGATGCCACTAATCAAAAAAGGAAAACATGGAAAAAGGAAGCCAAAAGCATTTATCTCAGCACTCTAAAGATGAAGTTCATGCTCCAGATTTCCACTAAAAGCTTGTAAAGCAACTTTCTGTTACACATCTCAGTCTTGTTGAGCATAAACAAAGCTTCACATTTTCTCAGATTCAAAGAAATCTCTTAAATGACGTGAAAACAGATACATGCATTCCTACCCACCTTTTGCAAGTCAACTCAGTTTTAAGCTGTTGTTTCAGAAATAACTTTTGTTTGTTTGTTTGGTCGGTTTTGTTTGTTTGTTTGTTTTTTTACTTTTTTAAGGTAATTCTAAAGTATTCTGCGATTATGCAATCCTCACCTGATTTCCACCACTCCAGTTTTAAAATTAGCAGTAATTTTCAAGGTAATTTCAGTTTTGCCTTAGAAACACAGTGTTCTGGTACACCAGCCAACATCAGAGTTGTAGCTCAGCACAGCACGCAAAAGACTGATGAAATTTCCAAAGTAATCAGCTACTGCTATTTATTTTCCTTGGGTAAATGGTATAATCCAGCTTAAAGGCATACATTTATTAAAAGACATGCAAAAGCTTCATAGAACTGCCTTACAGTCTAGGAGAGCAAGAGCGTTCAGTTCGCACTGTCTTCAGTGTTTTTCATGGGGAGAACCTATAAGTTTTCTGGCCCTTGCAATACTCTTTCACAAACCTGTAGCATGTCTTTGCATAATTATAGCAATACCGTATCAAAACGTGACAGGACTACATCATGGCAACAATGTGAAAAAACGTGAGTTTATGGAAGATCACCCAGACTGCAACATACATGACGGCCTTCATCTTCTGCAATGGCCAGACACAAAAACATAGCAGTATCTCTCAACTCTTACAGCCCCTAGTATCACTTTGCAAAAGAGTCTGAATAACTCTGAATGCTTTTGAATGAGATCAAAGGTGTTTATTACCTGTTTTACCAGCTCCGCTCTCTCCTGTAATAAGAATACACTGGTCTTTGTCCTGGTCCCTTAAAGATCTGTATGCTTCATCTGACAGAGCAAAGCTGCAAATTAAGAAAGAGACAATTAAGAATTAGATAGCACAAGTAGCAGCAATAACACAAAATAGCAAATAAATAAATAAATAAATAAAAAAAACAAGCACATAGTGTTCTGTAAGTGCTGAAGCTTTCAGTTTTCAGAATACGAAGACCCATGGAAGCAAATTATATACTTTGGCTCAGTGATTTATTCAGACTTTTCTCCAGGAACAAACAAGCAAAATCTATCTTGTAAGTTTTCCTACAGATATCAAACTCAAATTCAAAATTGGGAGGAGGTGGTGAGGGGGGTGTATTTAGGTAGCATTCTTCAATGGATGAACTCTCTTTTTTTCTTCAGTTGTCATTTTGAGGCAGAGAATGAGTACTATTGATTTTGATTCACCAGCATTTTTTCCAGTTAATGAAATAAGGCACTAGGACAGCACTAGGACCCCTTTAAAACACTTGAGCACTATCTGAGAAAGGACTTTAAAGCATAATCCGCATAAAAGGGCACACTTGCATCAACCACCTTCAGGAGATAAATCTGCTATTAAAACATGGCATATTTTACATGAAATGAACGTCCATTCAGCACAGCAGGAGCTGTGTTAGATTACTGCACCTAGTAAAATACTGGGTGTTTGTGTCCATATAGAAGTGTTTATTATTTACAGTAAATAAACCATGGTTGACAAATACAAATGAACTCTCAGGTCAACACAAAACACATCATGGTTGCAGATCCGATGCATCTTTTAGAAACTGGATTATTCTGTAACAGCTCAGGAGCTTTGCCTTCACCAGACAGCTGCAAATACATCAGCGTAGCCACATGGAGTTTTCACAGGAAACCACAGCCCCCTGATAAGAAAAAAGCCAGCTCTGTGTTGTGAAACGAGCTGGGGTTTGCATGGACAAATCAATATAAGTAGTGACCCATGCTGAGCTTCTTTCGGAGGCTCTACTGCTGGAGCTTGAAGCTCCAGACATTTGTTCTTCCTTCTGGCTTCTCTTCCCCGATAACTTCATACAAACACATCACGATGGCCCCAGTTGTTTGCCGTGTGCTCATCCTTCTTCTCTCCTGCACCCTGTCTGTCTGTCTGTCCGGTTGCATGAGCAGCCTGGGGCTCTGGCTCCTCCAGGGCTTTCCTCCCAGCCTGCGCTGTCTCAGGGGCTGAGCTGTGATCCTTCTCTGCACAGCTGGGCCAGCCATTTGACAGCCACTACCAAAGGTCACCGCTGCTTTTGGTACACTCACCGTTGAACCAGAATTAAGCCTGATCTCTCAAAGCTTATTAGCGCTATGGTGATTGAGGCATTTCAACTCAGCAGTTCAAGCAGAGGTGAGAATGTGTTTACAAGAAAGTAGCAGGCTGTAATGCTTTTCGTATTATGACAAATCCAGTTTGTGATGGAGCCAACATGCTAGAGAGCTAAAACTAGAGAAGAAAAAACACAAAAACAGAAAAACTCTTCGGCTGCTGAGAGACCATGACACAATTTCTGGCATCTACTTTACTGTCCAGCATCCAAGCTGCAGTAGCAGTAACACTTTACCAGACTCTCTTACAGGACATATTTAGGAAATGAATAATGGATGCTGAACGCTGCTGCAGATAGCCTTGTAAACTGACGAGCACAATGCATGGCCTTCAGTAAAGCTTATCCCAGCAACGTTTAACTTCAGTCACTGTCCTTTCTGCAAGGAAAAAAATTAAAAAAAAAAAAAAAGCAGTAAGACACAGAGGAAAGAAATAAAGCTACGTGGGGCATTCATGGGCCACGCAAGAGACGTTTCATGCCAATGCCATGGCTTCCACGGCTGGACTCAGGAAAGCAGCTTTCAGCTGGGAGGCACAGCTCCAATGAAGTCAGCGCCAAGCACAGAGGAGGTATTCTCTTTCTGTTGATATACTGAGCTATGAGTTAATCAGCCCCGTAACCATTCATCTTTCCTAACACACCCAATTTCTCGTTTCCCAGCAGCCCGTCACAATATATTTTAGTGCTTGATATATTAACTCTGCCTACACCACACAGTGAAAAAAAAACACAAATCACATTCCTTCTCCTCCCTCAACAGAGAAATTGGAAGTTTAATGCTCCAAGGAGACCTGTGAAGTTGGAGGAGCGAGTGGGATCTCAGGCAGTTCTGCTGATAATACCCAACCCCGGCAGGGATGCTGGGCATACGTCCTCTGTTCCTCCAGTCTCCTACACAACCCAGCAAAGCAAAAGTTTCACAAGCATCAAGATTTAATATCAACTATTATCTGCTAGAGACACAAGAAAAGAAGAAGCAAACTCATTTTAGAAGTTTTGTATGCGTCCGTGTTAGAAGTTAGCCAGAAGCTTTCTAAAATTTACTTCTGACGTTTCAACCGCTGCTCCAACAATTCAGCTGGAGGAGGCAAAGCCAAGAGCGCATTGAAATAACAGCGTTCCAGATTTGTCTCACTGGCATCGCAAACAGCGCTGGACACGTTTGCATCAGAGCCCGAACACAGATCTTTAGTTCAAAGGAAAAAGCGATCAATTCATCTGCCGTGTCAACTTTAATGCACGGCACTGCTCCGCTGTCCTGCCCGTTCACCACCTTCTTCTGCCTTTGCGTTGAAAAGTTTCAAGTCCTTTTGTTCAAACTCTGCTTGTTCCAAAAATAAAACTTCATGCTACCCCCTGTTTGTTACAAACATATAAACTAATTCCATTTAAGACCACTTTAGCTTAACATATTTTGACGATCTGTCGACTGCAAAGAACCCTTTTATCCTTTTCCTTTCGGCAGAGCTCTGGGAAGTCAACGTTTACAGCTATGGCTTTAAACCACATGCTACTCGCTGAGCTGCCTCGCAATTACAGAGCCTAAGCACATTTTTTAAAATAGTTCATAATTTACAAGGCAGCTATACCCCATGTGTTTCAAATTAAATGGTGAGTGTGTCAGCAGTGTCATTGACCATACCTTGTAATAAACTCGCCTATGATTTTTAGGTTATCCTGGAAGACGACGACATTCTCCTACCACAACAAACAGAACTATTTGCTGGAGCTCTCTTATAGCTAAGATTTAAGTATAGGAGCAATTTGAAGTCAGAGCACCACCCACACCTAGATCACTCTGCTTTTTTATAGCACCCGCTCCGCCGGCCACGTGGATCCAGATGGCCAGACAGCTCTACAAAGAAACCCAAGTCCAACCCTAAAAATGTTAACACAAAGGGAAGCAGCAAACAGGCCTGCAGGAGGGGTTGCTGAAGGGCTCGGGCAGCTTCCAGCAGCACAGCAGCCCCTTGAGACCAGAGCAAGGCTTTCAGCCACCCACCCCATCACAGGGATGTTAGCGCATCACCTGGGTGCTCAGGGCTGACCCCAGAGTAACAGCGGCAAAAAGCCTTAAACAACAGAAGTCGAGCCCACGAGAGCCAGCTCTTCTCTTCCACCATCTTCCTCCCTTAAGCCAAAATCACCGGGATGAGCAGTCCTCAGCTGGCAGGACTTCTTCCCACCAGCGTTTTCGTGCTTCCTCTCCCTTCCTTCGGCGTCCTCAGGCATTGTCCATGGGTGAAACACACGGATGGCTTTCCCCAGGCATTACTACCTTCCCTTCAGCTCATCTTTCCTGGCTGCTGCTTTCGATTCTCAGTCTCTCGGTCCCCGTATTAAAACCTTTACTGGTAAATCTTGCCCTCCATCTGCCAACTCATTTGCTACTTCCAAAGGAAATGAAGAAAACCTCTCTCCTTGACCCCTCCAATTCCTCAGGAAGCAGAGCCCCAGCACCCCTTCATCTCATCCCATCCCATAACCACACGGGCAGGGTACATGCTCTATATTCAGCAGTGCTTTAGCATTGAAAAGTGTGCACTGTGCTGCACTCAAAAGAGATACAACAAGATTTAAATTTGATGTATCACGTAATGTAAAATGTACACAGTATTTAATGTATATTGATTCTTTCAAGTCTAATTAAAGAAGAACATCGAAGTTCCTTCCTTTTCTTTATGACTGTGCAGAACAGGATGACAACGAAGCTGTTTCTTCCTCTCACAGCATGCTGTGGGAGAACAGCAGAATCACGGTTTGCTCTGGTATATATATAAAAAAATGGTAATAATAATGGATGGGAAAAGTGGAAGCATATTTTATAAAGTGCTTTGGGGCTTTCTGTTGTAAATCATCCCGATTAGTTATGTATGTTTTCCCCCACTCCACTGAAGCTCGGTGGAAAAATCACCATTCAGGAAAAACCACCAGAAGAGGTTATTTATATGATTAGCTCATAGTGCAGAATCATTTCATCTAATTGCCCTACGGGCAAGAAGCGTGCTCCCATTTCCCATAATTGCAAACCGCCTGGCGTTCGGCATTTTGACACACTCGAAAAGAAAAGGCTGATTAGCTTGCCACTGGTGTGAATGAAGCAGCAGCTGATGGAGCACGGGCTAGGACAGACCTTCACAGGCGAGCAGCTGCTCTTCGAAAAATGCCAATCAGGGGAAAAATTAATGAGTTTAAACACCGGGATAAAGAGGTGCGCTACGACAGATGGAAAGGCTTTTACCCCATTCAAAATACTCGTGCGTTTTCAAACCCATTTGGTTTTCCTGGTGAGCACAGAAACCTGTTTTATCAGCAATCCTGTGTGGCTGACATGCACTGCAGCAGCACACCTCCTGCGTGCGCTGCCCCACTTTGTTATTCCTGCTCACATAACTTTATTTCACCTCCAGCTCACTTTTGGAAATAAAGCACCACTTGGGAAGCCCTGGGTACAGCAGGGACATCTCAGAGATCCTGTGCGCTCATTAGTTCAGGCACAACACCAAGCTAACGAGCCTGTCCAGCCCAGAAACAGACATCTGCTCAAACTTATGCAGGGGATTTGGGGATGTGTGTGTGCCCTTGCTGCTCTGCTACCCCTCAACACGGATGCCCACCACACACACCTCTTCTGTCCTGGGGTCGCAGCCTTGCTGAGAATCATCTTGCAGTGACCGTGGTCAGCTCTAGCT